AATGATGATGATGTAATCTAAGCCAGTGGTGAAGAGCCTTTTAAGCCTTTGGGCAGCTTTCTGGGGGCTGTCTGCTAGTGGTGGGTGGAGCCAAAGGCCAAAGCCAGAGGCAAAAGTGGGCAAAAAAATGTGACTATTTTTAAATTTTTATTTCATTTTTATTCCTGTTACCACCACTACTACTATATATTTGACTTATTAACTGCTTCTTACACCATATCTTAAAACTTGAGAAAAATTAAAATATGTTATAAAATTAACACATACAAAGCACATTCAATTAATAAATACACGATACAATGTCTCCATCGTCATAACAGCTACAGAAAGCTTGGGCAGCCCATTAGCAGCAAAAACATAATCATAGTCCATCAAAAGTTGCAGGGGGGAGTGATAAAGTTTACACCTGATGCCAAAAATGCGTCAGTGAAGGTGTCAGGTATAATAAACTGGAGCAGCTTAGACTTTGAATCTTGAACGGTGCAGGGGAGCTTGGTGGGCACCATGGCACCTGTAGGCACTATGTTTGCAAAGCCAGATGTAGCCTCCCTCTACTTCCTGCATTTATTTTCTGCCTCTGCCTGCCTTCATTTCTCTGTGCCTCATTGGGGAATCTGAACCTTTGAGAGCCAGAGCTGTAAAACTGAAGTCTATTGCCAACTCTAGTAATCAAGACTTTGCTAGAGGAAGAGCTAGGCAAACACAGCTGATAAAGTATTTACAAAAAACAAACAAACCCAAACCCACCCAGCAATCTAATTAGAGAATGGAGGTGAAAGTTGGAGGGGAAACAAAGGTGGAGAGAAGGAAAGCGATTTACCAAACTGGTTTCCTGCAGTTTTATCCAGCTCCATCTCAGTTCAGAATCTCTCCATTAAGATGGTGGTTGCAATATAACCTTTTGTCCAATGGAAGGAGATAATAAAGGAACAACACTGATAAGAAATCGTATGCTTTTCACAGCATTAACAGACTCCATCAGAGCTAGATATGAGGAAATTGCCATTGATATCAGCCAGAATGAGCCAGGACTAGGAACAGAATAAGCTGCTTTAGAGCAGAGCAGATTATTTCTCCATCTAGCCCGGTATTGCCTGTACACTGACTGAATGTGGTTTTCCTGGTTGAAGACTTCCCCATCATCTGCTACCTTATCCTTTCAACAGGTGACATCAGCTGTGATCTTCCGCATGGGAAGAATGTACACTTCCGCTGAGTACACTTCCGCTGAGTCAGTGGTGGTGGGTGACCATTGGGCCATTGGAGCAGAAGGCAGGGAGACCACTAGTAGCTGATGCCAGAGCCAATGAGAAGCAGGAAGGGCCTGGCTGACAATAGACTCAGACTTGATGGGGCGTTTGCCCTATTCACCCTAATGGACCAGCCTTCACTGGGCATTGACCTTCCCTATTATTTTAGCAGCATAATGTTAATAAAGTTGCAGGTTGGATGTTTCCTGGATGAGGCATACTTTGATGAAACAGAGCAAAATAAAACTAAACTCAACAAATATACTCCTCTCCCATATTGAGGCACTTCTAAGTTCAGTACATAAACCACCCCTGTGTCTGGTCAACAATGTCATTTTGCATTTTCTTAGTACAGGAAATATTGGTCTGATGTGTAAAGATCTTTCTTATTCTAAATGATTCAAGAGGGTTCTGGAAGCTTCTCTGTGTGATACAAGTTGGTGCAAGCTGGAAGTTTCTAGCTGACGCATAAGTTTCAATTCTGCCTAGAAACAGGCATAAAATTTCTGATGTTTGGGTTATTCCTTCAGAGAAACTGAACAGCTGGTTTAAACTGGTTCTGTTATCTCTTTCACTCAAGGTCATGCTGACTATAATAATAGGCCAGAAGGAGCCTGAGTTTCATTTTCTGTCTCTTTTTCCTCCTGGTGTGGTGTTCTGTACATAGTATGCTTAGTGTTAAGGTTTTAGTCCTATTGTAAGTTACTGTAAGTTTAAGTTAAGTCTGCTGCAACTGGATTTTCTTATGGAAAGTGCCAGTCCTGAATGTATTGGATTTGCAACTTTTATGCTCATTTTCCTTCAGTAACAGTAAAACTCTGCTGGATGAAATATTAATTGCCTCTGGTCTATTTTTGGGGAATCCTGCAATGTGCTGAGTCTTTTTCTACTCTGCTAACTATACATTGGAATGTGCTCTGGATCAATATGAGCAGAATTCTTGACAAACCAATAGATGAGGTCCTACATATAGTAATCACAGCCAGTAAATCTCTCCCTGCACAGTGAATTGTAGGTTGGCTGAATATTGCAGCATCACAACTTCCCCTTTGACTTCTTTATGGTGATCGAAAGGAGCAATTTATTATTTATTTCTTCTATCCCGCCCTTCATTGTGTTATTTCAAAGTTAAACAACATTGCAAACTTAAAACCAGTAAAATATCACAACAATCTATAATTCACCTCATTTTAAGTTCAGCTATGAAGCATCATATATAACAGAAGCCCAGAAATGCAGTAGAATTGATAAAAGCCTAGGCAAACAGGTGGACCTTGGCCTGATGTCAACATTTAAACAGTGATGGTATGAACCTTATTCCCTGCAGAAGGGCATGACACAGCTGTTGCATCATTTCAGAAAGCAAATTTATTCCTTCTGATGTACACATTGAAACCAAGTTAGAATCCAAGGGAGAAACCATGCACACATTGTTTAGCACTAGAGGTGACTTACTTCCTGAGGTGAAAGAGGTAGGTGCCATTCCCCCCTCTCCTCGCTCCTCACCAAAGCCTTGCTTACCAGGGTTGAGCATCTGTGCCTTCTGGTGACATCTAGCAAGATCGTGTGGAATTCTTGTTGCCAGAAGAAGCTGCTGACAGGCAACCCCAGCAGCAGGGGTTGGTGGAGTGCCTGCAGGAACACTGCCTTGCTGGATTCAGCTACTCAAAGTAGCTGCTTCAGCCTGTCTCATGGGCGGGCCGGCCCTGTCATTGGGCATTTCAGACTATATTGTTGTGTTGAAAAAGAAAACCACCAGGAAATGGAAAATCTTGAAGTTAAAGTCCTCCTGCTGGTAAAAAGCTGCAGAATTGATAGCACTGACACCTAGGACCCAACTGCACACAATGTTAAATGCATACCGTGTGTGTGTGTGTGTGTGTGTGTGTGTGTTTTCCTCTTTAAAAAGGAGTTTTCAAGAAGCATATCAGAATTCTGACTACAGCACACAGGGAGAAGTTCTTAATCTGTTCCTCCTAAGTCACGATCCTGGTGAAAATCTTCTCACCCCCAGATGCTGCTATTCACTCATGAAAGTATTGTGGATTGGGGGAGAGTGGGGTTTTCTGTACTAGAAACTCACTTTCTATATAACAAAAAAAAGTGCTTTCATAGGCTGCCACCGCAACCTGAATAAACCTTTAGGCTGTCCAACTGCTGGGGAGGCTTTCCTGCTCTAGAAATATTAAAGAGCAAGGAGTTTAGGATTTACTTTCCAAAGGGAACATTCACCCTACCCCTTGTTGTTCAGTGTTAGATAGCAGTGACAGTTCTGAAGATTTGTAACTATTGTTGCATGCCAGTCGTTGGTATAAGAATTCTGAAACAGCTTGGTATCATGTGTAATGCAGTTATGCTTCATCACTGCAGGTCTAGCGGGGTATAAAATGTCATTCTTAAAGTGTGTTTATACTCAGAAAAATGATATTTTCATGAAAGGTAATATAGGCTTCCATACTGATTCTCCCTCAGTGCGTATAGCTCAAACTGGCTGCATTGAGAGGACAAATATACAGGTATAATGTTTTCTTAAATGCCATACTTTGCTTAATCTGACATATCTGCCTGCAGAATATAAGAGACAAACTGTGCTTCTTTTTTTCTTTTTTTATGCCATTGCCCACAGAAACATGTACATATATAACATGAGAATGAAATACTGTATACTGTAAAATTCAAGTGTGATTGTGTGTTTATTTTGCTAGGGCTCACCATGACTTTTTCCCGGGATTAGTTTTTAGTGTCAGGTTCAGAATGGAAAAGAATGGAAGGTATAACTGTTTGAAAATGTGCACATTATTCAGTGCCTGAATATGTAATTTAAATGGACAGGTCTTTGGACAGATGTGCCTCATACAGGCATGCTTCTTTGGGCCCCTGAATTGGCTACAGTTCTCTGTTGAAAGTAGAGTCAACAGCAAACTCTAGGAGGTGAGTTGTGCCGTAATGTGGAACAGTCCTGAACAGATGGACTGAGCAATATGCAACTACTTCTTTGCCAGATGTGAGTTACATTTGGTGGGCCAGATAGCCCTGCGGACCTTGCAGTGGAACATTCATTTCAGAAATTAGACACTGGTGTGTGCACATTTTATCTAAGTCCAGCAAAATTCATTAAAAATATAGTTACTTTTCTGAAGAGAATCATAGTTATCTCCTGTATTTCTTCCGTATGAAAAAATATTTCCCGTCTCCTTCACTAGGAGCAGTGGGTATGCCGATAAACTGTTGGTTTAATTAAAAACTAGCCTCTCTCTTGTCTTTGAAAGCATTGGTTTAAATCAGATTTCTGTGCCGTGAAAATATTGCTATTCAAATTAAATTAATTACACTGCTATCAAACTGACAGATTTATATATGTGTATGGGCATATCAAGTACAAAGTCACTTAACTTACAAAGCTTGTTGTTAAACTATTTCTTTCTAAGTTATCTTGCTCTGCAATTTGTTCCGAGGCCATTTAAAGGACTGCTTCCTGTTACTCATGAGTAAAGATAGCAGAGCTTTCTCCTCTGGTATCAAATGATCCTAGGGTGGGAAAATAACACTGCTCTTCAAAGAAACCGAGGCATTTCTTGACTTTTGGATAAAATTGTGGCATGCCGTGGCATGCTCCACAATTCCTTTCTGTCAGATGAAGGATGCAAACTGAAGCATAACTAATTTGAAGACCATTCCACTGAAAGCAGTGCAACTTACTTCCAAGTATATCACCTGTCTCGTGCAGCGACAGCTCTCTGTTTGTGGAAAGGGGCTTCAACAAGTGTATAAGTTTTTGCTGGTATGCAAAAGCCAGCTCCACTGCAGCAGTTAACCCTATCTTCCAGCCACCGCCATTGCTTTCCAAGGTGGACAGGGGTAGCCATGACACCATCCAGCAACACACTTTGCATTCTGATGAACTTTCTTTTGCTTTATTCTTGCACGCTGTGTGACTTGTAATTATTTGAGCCATCCATACTGGGAGAGCCGATATGTTTGTATTTTAGATAGAACCTTCAAGGCCACAAGAGTTTTATAGAATTCTAGATGAAAGAGTGAGTTATTGGGGTCCTAGAAGTATTTCTGGATGGTAGTCAATCAGTTAGTTACTTTGGGTGGAATACAACATGGTTAGTCATTTAAACTCAATAATACAAAAGGGCTTTTAATGTTGACTGCAATGCATCAGAACACAACACATCTCCCTAAAATGCCTGTAACTTTAATCATCAGTACACAGGGCCAGAAATATCCTAACAGGGGGACACCATGCACATGTTTTCCTGTCAGTCATCTAGGGTGGCCATATTTCATGAAGTTAAAATCCGGATGATTGGCGGCTCAACAAAAATCATTGGGCCTTTGGGGGGAAATCGCCAGAAAAGAGAAGAGGCGGCTGCGGCAGAGGGGCAGCTTCAGGCGCTTGACAGGCTATGGCAGCTACAGTGGCACTATGGCTCCCAAATGCCACCTGGGTCTCTCATCAGGAGACCCTGCTGCTGCCACCTCTAGCGCTCTCAGCCCCACCGCTACTCACAAACTTTGGGCTCCAAGCAAGAAGGGGAAGAGGATGGGGATGTAGGACCCCAAAAATAGGGCAGGTCTGGGATTTTCCATACGCATGGCAACCCTAACTGTGCTGACTGGGAGGGAGAGGGGGAAGAGTGAGGTGGCAAAGAGTGAGGCATGGTGCAGATTGGCTTCACTACTGCACCTTCAGAATGCCACGTCAACCCTCTCTCTCATGGTAAGCACAGTGATGTGGCTGGTGGGAAGCCAGATGTGCATGGGGGGGTGTGACGTGGCGCAGATTTGTGGCTGAGTTCCCACCTAAATCCCTCCCCTGATGGAAAGGTGGTGTTGAGCCCTTGACAAGGCCAAGGAGAGAGCAGGGGGGGGGTCCTGGCCGGGGAGAGACTGGGTCAGCTTGCCTGAGAGGGGGAAGCTGGGTAGGGGGTGTGGCATAAGTCGGGGCCCCCATTTTGGGGTGGGGGTGACTTGGGGGTAGCTTGCCTCTTAGCAAATGGGGGGCATTGGTGGGGAGCCCATGTGGCAAGAGGGGGTTTTGAGTTTGGAAGGAAGTTTGGGGGGGCAGGAAGAGGATCAGGGTGGAGTCGAATTGTTCTTGTTTTTATTATGTATTTTGTGTTTTTATGTTGTGAACTGCCCTGTGACCTGCAGGTATAGGGCTGTATGCAAATTTAAATCATCATCATAAAGCATCACCACCACTCCACTCTAATGGACACGCCTGACAGTATGACATTATTGGCACAATCAGGGTTGCTGATATTTAACTAGTAGACTTCTGGTTATCTGTGAAGCATTGCTTTGAATTTTCATAATCTGTGTTGCTCTGTCTTTCTCTCCGTTATTCTGTGATCTCAAGACTTTCAACTCTGTTGCGATCTAAAGTAAAAAGTTATATTTGTTCCTGCAGAATAGCACTGAATTTTGTAGAGTGCATTCTATAGCTTTGAGGTTCCACACTTGCTGAGTGGTGGTAGGGAGATGAGAAAGAAATTTGGTTTGGTTCGCATGTTAATGAAAACCTAATTCACACTTCCCAAAGCAGTCTGCTATCTTTACAGAAATACAGCTATCTTTCAAACTTCATGCCTCTCTAAATTTTGCAGTGCTGTTCTCCAGCCAAAAATGTACGTATTATGGAAAGTGTGCATAAAAAATGAACATTTAATGAAAACATCATAAAAAACTGCAATGTGTTAGGGGGAATGCTGGTTAAAACTGTGTATATTAGAAAAATTGCACACAAAAATGTATGTATTCAGAGAAATATGCATTAAAATGCTGGTAAATTTTCATGAGGCCTTTTTAAAAATACAAACCGATGAGGAAACGTGGAAAACCATGCTTAAAATGGGGAAAATGAGAAACTGAAAGAAATAAAAAACTGACAGATTTGTGTATCCCTAGGGAAGTATAACCAAATCATTGCCTGTCTTTGCCACCTAGTGGAAAGCTGAATTTTACAATGCCCCTTCCTAGCATTAGGGGAAGAGTAAGCAGCAAGGTCAACTTTCCTAGAGGAAATGCCCTAGGAGATATACCACAGGAGATTCAGCTGGTGAATCAGTTACATCCTCAAGGCTTAACACGAAATCAGTTGTTCCTTAACTGCCTTTTTATATTCCGTATAGTTCAAAGCACACAGGGCAGCTTACTTTTGTTCAGTAACGCACATCAACCTTTGCTTTCCGGAAATCATAGTGCTTCTGCTGCAGTGCTTTGTGAAGCAGGATCTTGTAAAAGAAAATTGACAATGATGGAGTGATGACTTAAATACAGATTCACAGAACTGGAAAATGGTGGGTTTTCTGAATTAAAAAGAAAAAACAGCAGGTGGAATAAAAAAAAGAAGGTAGCAAAGGACCTCTGAAGTATTAAGAGCTCAGCAGCTATTGAACTCAATGGCTCCTTCCCTCCTAAAATACAAGCAATGCTATTCACTTTATCAAAGGGTGTGTGAGCTGATCACACAGTTGAATAAAGCCAGAGTGGGAACCTTTGTTCTGTTGAGAGCTGCAGTCCCCTGAGGCTTATCTCTCAGGGGGGCCATGTGGTGGCGACAGGGAGGGGGAAATGGAAGCCAACAATGGGCAGAGCCAGAGCAGAAGGTAGGTTAGACCATACCTCCCTCCCTCTCTTTCTTTCTCATAGGAGGGACACTTCATACTTGCCAGAATGCTGACCTCATGTGAACCTCAAAAGCTGCAGGTTGACCACCTCTGGAATTAATGGACATTAGACTCCACTTGCTGTTTTTATCCTTGCCTCTGTATTGGATCTGAAACAGTTTTTGGTGTGTTTTTTATGTTTTTATTGTTGATGTTTTCAACCACTTCTAGATGTTTCATGGGAAGTGATTCATAAATGAAATGGGAACACTCTGTGTATCTTCAGAAGTCAGTAGAATCGGGCCTCCTGCCATGGGATTACATTGTAAGAAGTTAGTCAACTCGGCTGTGAGCCTGGTCCAGACCCAGCAGTCCTTGGCAGGATCAGGATGAGACTCACGGGCGTAAGAGAAAAGAAGAACTCTGTTTTACAAGGGAAACAGTCCATGGCAAGCCATCAAAAGGCAACCTTCAAGACAGAACATATGCTGAAGTAAACAGGTGAAGGGATAAAGGTCCCGAAAATAAACAGGTGGAGGCTCACAGGGACAGAACAGACAACAGCTCAGAAAAGGAGCCAGGTGCAGCTAATTAAAGCTTTTCCAAAGTGCTAGATCCATTCACACACTAGAATGTTAAGCAGCTTTTAGGAAGGAAATATTCCAAACTCCAGCACCAGTCAGGAGACAGTCATGATTTATTTTACCCTGCTTTGTTGAGGCTTATGTTAGCTAGCTGCAGAGTTGAACATGAGGACAGGGCTCGTGGGCAGAAGAAGGAATCAAAGCAGAACCAGATTTTCTCAACCCTGCATGACAAGCTACTTTTGCCTGGAGATTCTGAAAAATTTCTGCCTTCTTCACGTCACTTGGGGGTGTTAAGTTTCAGACTTAGATCAGATGAGGGGCAGTGTCATCAGGGGTTGCTCAAGGGGGACCTCAGTTTAAGAATTTCCTTGTTAAACATTAAGTGCACTGCTAAAAAGGAGCTTTCATATATATATTGAGGTTGGCAACATGGTACCCATGGATCACATGCATCCACAGAGGACTTCCCTGGTGCCCACAAGGTTCCTTCACCCTCTCCTCACTGCTTGAAAGTTCTGCTTGAAAGAATCATACTGCTATAGATAACAGAATAGGCTGTGATGTGTGTTTGGCTTCAGGGGAGTGTGTAGTGCCCACAACAGTTTATCTGGTTTGCAAATGTACCCACAAGCCCAAAAGGGTTGGCGATCCCTACACAGCATAACTGGCCAGCTTTAGAATGCATTCAGCCACAAATATCAAGCAAAAATTCAAACCATGAGTCATATTGGAGGAAACTTTCTTGCAGTCATTCGGTAGGCTGGGGGCTGAATGTGAACCAAGGTTAGTTTTAAGTGCATCTGAGAAAAGGAGCAGGATATTAGCATGCCAGGATTTTAAAAATATTGGTCGTACAAAGAGCCATTTACAGATAGTCTCTCCAAATCAAGAAACAGCGTTTGACAGATTCTGCAGATGTATCGTTGTGGATATTGTTACTGCTTGTCCTATCTCTGGTCTGCAAGCTGATAAGCTCTGTCAGCTGGTCGCTGCCACTAGGCATCTGGCTTTTAAAAAAAGCTGTTAAAGGAAAAGAAATATGTCCATGTCTCTGCATTCCCTTGGCACCAATGAAAGTCACCGTGTACTTAAGTTTTCTTTCTTGCCATCCTTAGAGCAATCTTTGGAGTTGCATTTTACCTGGAACCATTTTTCCCTCTTCACAAATGATTGCTGATAGGATTTGATAAGGGCATGTCCAAACTGTTCTCATTTGGGGAATGGAGAGAGCCGATTCCCCACATATCACTTCAGACTAGACTTGTTTGATGTTGGTTCATGTAGCTGACAGAAACTATATGGCTTCCTGGCCACAGGGGGAACGGACCCTACCTGCCTAGACTGTGTATAGGAAGCTGGCATCTGTATGTCTTAAGTGAAAAGGCTATTGCTTGCTAAGTTTTGATCTAAGTTTTGCTTTTTAGTGAGGGAAGAAAGAAAATGAAGGGAAGCTTGGAAGGCCTTTGATCATGTTCCAAAGCAGAACGGCTATTCGCCAGTTTCCAGGCCATGGGATAATCTTGGCCTGGATGCAGTGGCCTCAGGATGGAACAAACAGGCATAAATCTGCCAAGAAAGACCCAAGCTTTCCTAAAGAGCTAAGCCAAAAAGATTGTCTCGTTCTCAAAACAGGTTTGCTGGCACAACCCCCGTTCATTTCAGTGAGGCTTGTGTTCACAAAATGCTTGAGGGACTAATCTGGATCTGTCGTACTTCTCGATTAGCCCACTGTCCGTGGTGGAATAGGAGTGTGTCAGATGGCTGTTGCTTACTTAGGTAGACATATATTTGATGTGATAAATATATAGCAATTCATTTGCCATGTGGGATCTAAATCCAGTTGTCTTCTCTTAAGGTGCCACTTGTATAGTGGAGAAACTGCTGGGAAATGTAATCTCTCTCCACTCCATCCCAAACAACAGTCCCATGTCTGTTGGACTGTTGTGAATGGCCTACACTGAGAAATGGTGGAGGGAGTGTGACCCTGCTGATTCTTCTTGATCTCTGAGTGGCTTTTGATGCCATTATCCATGACATTTTTCTTAATCACCTGGGTAAATGGGGAACTGGAGGCACTACTTTTCAGTGGTTCTGCTTCTACCTGTGAAGCAAGTTCTTGATTAGTACTGGTGGGACAGTTGTCCTCGTCCCTGGGCTACATCCCACATGCTTTTTCAACATTTGAATTGAGGAGGGGGAAAATGTTTAGGGCTAAATTATGCTAACAACAACCACAACCACTTCCATTTCTCCTGATCAGGGAGCATGGTAGAAGCTTTTGACTAAACAGCAACTGGATGAAAGAAAACAAACTGAAATTCAGTCCAAACAAGACAGAAATACCTGCGTTATGGCTTTGACCCTGGAGCTGGCAGTTCTTCTGTGCTGGGTGGCCTCATACTCTTGAAGTATGCCAAATGCCACTGCATCCAAGTTGCCAGGAGCAGCCTTTCTGCCTTGACATCATAATGGGGCTACTTCTGGGCCAATCACTAGTCTGGGTGCAGACAACCTTCATAAGGCAAATGGAGTGTATCGCCAGATGTGCATCTGCATAGGCTGTGCATGTGGAAGGCTGCTTCTCTGTGTGGTCATAAACCTCACCATGGATTGCCATCTGGATTTGACCCTGGGGTCTCCAGTTGTTGTGTCTCATTCTACATTAAAAACCATTCACAATCCTCGTTACACATTCTGCATGGTACCTCGTTTTAGCAGAGTGCAATATAAAGTGTTTTGAGGGAGCCTATTTTAATATTATGCAACTTATCATCAGGCCAATCCTTTAAAAGTGCATTTAATACGTATTGCATTATGCTGAGTGCACTCCAGTTATGTGTATAGCTATGAAAGCAATTGCTGACTCTAAATGAATAGTGAACTTACTGCTACTTCCAGAAAATGCTATTTACAGGGATAAACAGTCACGAGTGGACTCTCATGAATAAATTTATTTATCTTTTGTATTTCTAAATGCAAGTGATATCATACATGTTTCCTCTCAATATTGCAGCCAAAATGTCACTGGCATTTATTTATTTTTAATGTACAGTGTCGTTGCCCCTATCATAACTTACTCATGGCTGTTGAAAGAAAATGGGTTCCTGTGTCTCATCGTCCTCTATCCAGAGGGATGGCAGCGTGAGAAGTACCTTGGGATTTCCATCTGACAGATTTAAAGTGCTACACCAAATTTGTATAAGTTTCACTGCAAAAGCATAGTTGCCCTGATCAGATCTCCTGGTGTCTTTTTTGAAACATAAAAGCAGCCCATGGAGGGTGTCTAATAGTCCTGTTTTTGTGGGGGAGGGGACAGGTGTCTGCACTGCACTTGTCTTTTCTCCTCCCCTACAAGGAGTGTTTGTGTCACAGGAGAGACCAGGAATTTTTACTGGAAAAGCATGCAAGGGAAAAGGTTTAACTCCTCTTTCCCTCAGTGGTGAAGCCCCAACCCAATACGAGGCTGCAGCTGCTTTTAAACACTGAATTAACTGTTGGGTGATTCAATCTCAGATCTCCTATGTCTCAGCTTGCTTGGCCATTGAATCTGAGGAGTAAAAGTTCAAGGGGGCCACACTTTGTAATCTCACAATGCACAATCTCTCAACTTCACAAAGTAGGTTTTCGTACCCTCCTGATCCTACAAAAACCTGCACACTTACCCGGGAGGAAGACCCATTAAACTCAGTGGGTCTTCCTTCTGAGCAGACATGGGTCGGGTTGCACTGCCCAGTCCCATTCATTCCCATGGAGCTGACATCCATGCCAGAGGCTGAAGATCAGAATGCTAATTCTTCGGCACAAGTCTGTATTTTAGTTCAGAAAACACAATGATACTACAGTGGATGCTCGGGTTGCGAATGTGATCCGTGCGGGAAGCACATTCGCAACCCGCAGCGCCACGTGTGCGCACGCACAGGTTGTGATTCGGCACTTCTGCTCATGTGCAAGCACCGAAACCTGGAAGTAACCAGTTCCGGTACTTCCAGGTTCGGCGCAGTGCGCATCCTGAAATCACACAACCCAAAATGTCTGTAACCCGAGGTATGACTGTACATGGTAAAGCCACTCCCGAACTTAGGAGGGGGGGTTGCGGGCTCACGCCGCCATCTACACTTTCGCGGGGCTGGCGCCAGCCCCGCGAGACTCAGGGATTCCCCATTATGTACATGGTAAAATCCTGCTGGGGTTAGCATGAAATGCAGCAATTTCTGTTCCATTACCAAACAGTTTGCTATGCCGGCATGTATAACGCAGCTGCCTGAAAGCTGGCTGTGTTCAAAAGAACTGAGGAAAAGGTCTCTTCTTGATGTTGTTAGCCAGAGCTCCATTGTAGTTATGCAGGCAGAAGGTTCAGTCTGACCTTGAGACATAGGTATTTAAGTCACTACTGTGCCATAAACTACCCGGTTGGCTCCATGCAGTGTAAGTTACACTTTCTGTTTCAATTCCCCAACTGAACAACTGAGATATCTTCAGGACTGTTGTGGCTACAAATGTGTGATACAGATTGGTGTGATCTGGGGAGAGTCTAAACTCTAGAGCAGTGTTTTTCAACCACTGTTCCGCGGCACACTAGTGTGCCGCGAGATGTTGCCTGGTGTGCCGTGGGAAAAATTGAAAAATTCGAAAGATTAAAAAAATAATAATTCAAATTTTCGCCCACTAGGCGGGCACCGGACTGTGTCCTGGGTATGGGGGGGGTTTGACCCCACCCTCGGCCAGCAGGGGCGCCGATTGGCACTCCTCAGGGGGACACCCTCCACTTTTCTGATGTCCAGGCTGTGATTGGTCCAGACTCCAGCCTGGACCTATCAAAGTAGGACATCATATTCCGACTTCCTTCCCACCCGAGCACAGTGTGCGCAGCAGCGGAGAGAAGAAGACGTCGCGACTCGAGTCACTAGGAGGACCGGAGAAGTTGTCATTTTATTTCTCTTCAGTCTCCACTGAATGCCTTGACTGGGTTAGGGACCCTTATAGCTCAGCATCAGTTGGTGGAAAGGACATGACTTTACAGGAGCAGGAGGAACTAACTGAACTGAGACAAAATCGTGGTTTCAAGCTAAGATTTGCTGATCTACCTTTGGACAGTTTTTGGTTGGATACTGCCAAGGAGTTCCCCCTTCTGGCAAACAAAGCTATTTTGACATTGCTCCCATTTTCCACTACATAGATATGTGAGATGTGTGAGATGAGCTTTTCAAGCATGATTGCTATAAAAACTAAATACAGAGAGAGACTGAGAGCTGTTGATGAAGAGCTACGTGTGTGTCTTTCTTCGATTCCAGCCAGAATATCAGCTTTGTGTTCAGCCAAACAGGCCCAGGTTGCGCACTGAATAAAGTATTTTATAATTTTTCATATTTCTGTTTACTTACTATTTCATAATAAAGTAATTATAAAATACTTTCTTTGTGTTTATTTGATTCCTATTCAAGAGAATTACTTTATATATAGTCAATATAGGCACAGAGTTAAATTTTTTAACATTTTCTAATGGTGGTGTGTCTCATGATTTTTTTCATGAAACAAGTGTGCCATTGCCCAAAAAAGGTTGAAAAACACTGCTCTAGAGGGTCAGATAAGGAAGCCTGGGGGGCTGCATTTTGCATGTAGGAACCCCACCCTGTTAAATAGGATTTATGAGGGTCACTCGTGGTGCAGTTCTCATTCCCTTGACATCTGTGAGAATATCAATAGAAAGAGGGCTGACTGAAGTGTATGTCAAAATTAAATGCTTGTCAGGGATCTTACGGAACATAGCACTTTACTTAGATTTGTATAGATTAGATCACGTTTTTAATTGCTTCATGTCACACCCTAAACTTCTTAAATAAATTATAAGGAGAAGGCCTCTGCTAATGGACCACATAAGAAGACTGCCTGTATTGAATCTTCACTTACTGTTTCTCTCTAACTCATTTCATTGACGAGTTTATTTAGGAGATCAAATACATATCCAGCATGCGCACTTCATTTTCTGCAGTGATCATTTTGAGGACATTAAGTGTGATGGCATTCAGTGAACACTTAAGAAAAATATGATTTAATTAAGTAAAAGCTGCATGGGGCAAATGATAAGATTCTGCTGAACAAAAGCTAATACAGCATGACTGAAATGAAATACACAGAGCAGTAAGAGAGGAGAACACATAGACTAACCATAGTAACAAGAGATAAACAAGAGACTGATTGGACGTGAGCTAATTGTGGGATAACCAACCTCATATAACCAGCATGCTTAAGTCTAATTAATGCATAAAGAGCTTAATGCCATAGAGTAAGCTGTCCTGCCAGGCTTAGGTCACTCTCCCTCACCTTAGGAGGAAGGTAATTGAGCCTATAGTTCCCCTTCAGACGACCAGAGAAGCTCAGAAAATCTGAGTTGGTTGCTTCAAGCTCAGACCGCATGACTTTTACAAGCCATTCTTGTGTTCCTATATCAACAGTTTAAGAACTTTCACCCCTGTAATGAAGCCAAGTAGCACTGCCTGTGTTTTCCGACTGCTGTATGGAAAAGCACATGAACCTGACCTTGGGAGAGTTTGTATGTAAACTATTTTTAACTTACCAAATGTGTAATCTTTTCCTATGCTGAGGGAAGAGGGAACTATTTTGGAAGGAATTTAGAAGGACACATACTGTATTTTAAAGGTCTAACAGCCTATATTTCCGTGCTTTACTTTGCTACATGTTTTGTGATTTTAAATCCCTGCTAGCATTCTCTCACTAAAGAGTACTTGCTCCAAACCTGGACCTTGGCATCCAAGAAATTCTCTTTTTACGTGTATCTTTCCTTGCCACCAACACTAATAAAGTGGGACAACCACCTGAAAAGGTCTAGTGGCTGGGAATGAATGGAGCGAAGATGGCTATTGAGGAGCTTAGGAAAACAGTGTTTGCCTCAAAATGGTTAGCTTTACAAATGGAAATAAAGGAGATTAAATTGACTGCTGAGAATATGGTAGGAGCAGTCAATACAAAGCAGGAAGGCAATCAAATTTGGAATGACTTGCATTGACTTGGAGCATGGGCAGATGAAGCAATTCAGCGCAGAGAAGTGCAAGGTAATGAGCCTCGGGATTAGAGCAAGACTAGGAAATATATCTTTAATGGCCATATGCTTCAAAGCATTGAGCAGGAGTAGGATCTGGCGGCAGAGTTGGATACCACACTAAATACCCTTGGCACAGGACAGAGGATAAGTTAAAATGCAAATGCAAGCTCAACAATGGGAAGTATAAAAATATATTGGGCCAAATAAAACCTTAGCATAGGAACAATTCTAGCAAATGCCAGCGGAAACTGTAACAAAGCAAAACTCCAAAAGTCCAGCCGCTGCAGTGTAATGCGACTGAGCTCAATCGGAAGTTGTGGGCCTGAGTTTACACCAAACTGGAAATATTCTACTCAAGATGAAATCTGATAAAATCTTCTCAGGATAGAAGGCCTTTTAATATTCCTCGCATTTGAAACATGAAGTGGAATGGGTGGGTGGAGGCAGAGGGAAGGCAAGCAAGTGAGGGAATGGTTGAGCAAGGAAGGGGGAGGAGGTGGCAAGGCGTAACAGGAAGCTGCTGCCCCACTGCTGATTTTATGATTTTATTATTCAATCCTTTACACGGCGGGGTTGCATTGCCGTTGCTGCTGTGTAAAGTAGCAGCAGCAATGGGGCAGTAGCTTACTGCTCTCCTATAGGCTTGCTGCTCTCCGGGCACTCGGTGAATAGGTTTCCTGCTCTTATATGGGATTTGATATATAAATTTTTCCTTGGCTTTTTTGCTGGCCCATGTAGGATCAGCATGGATAGCTGGCTCGGGTGAATATCTGATGTTTCCTCCCTTTATGGTCTTGATTTATGGGCTACTACTAAAATGAGGCTGCGTTTTAAGCTGTATTTTAAGCCATATATTAACTGTTTGGTTGTTGTTGTTGTTGTTTTCTATTAAGTTTTATTGTAATTTATATTTGGTGTTAGCCACCCTGAGCCCGGCCCTGGCCGGGGAGGGTGGGGTATAAATAAATTATTATTATTATTATTATTATTATTAGTATTATTATTATTATTTAATTAATTAAGCAATGAGAGAAGAAAGCCTATTCGCTGAGGCTGCCCAGAGAGAGGTGGCACTTGGAACAGGAGAAGAGAAGCAAGAGACGCTGCTGCCCTTCTGCCACTTTACACAGCAGCTATGGAGACCCTGCTATGGAAAGCAGCAGTGACTTCCTCTTCCTCTTCCTCCTTGGTTCTGCCTGCAGCAACCACCTCAGTCTATGTTACTGGTGGGCTGGCTGCTTTTGGCCTAGTGTACCAAATCTTTATCTTCCCCCAACCCCATGAACCAGCTTTGATGGTGATGTCAAGTGGCTGATAAATGGGTTATCCTGCCCACCTCCCCCCCATGAGCGGGGAGAGGAACATACCAGTGAAGCAGACCCCAGAAGGATTGCACTCTTTCCTCATCAATCCTGCTGGCTGCCAGGCTTTGATCCACCAGGAAACATGATGACAAAATTGTACTCAGCAGGACTGAGCCCTCCGCTGGCGGGGAGGGCACAACCACAGCTTCTGAAGGGGTCTGCTTTGCCAACACATTCCTCACAGGGAGCATGCAGTCAAAGCAACATTCAGGAGCCAAACCCACCCATCAGATGATGTGGCCCAGTAACAGGTGGGCATGATAGAGGGAAATGGCCTCATGGGCCAACTTGGATCACAAACTGACTCCCAGGCAGGAGATTCCCAACTCCTGGTTCACTTTTTTTCCAGGGACAGATTTCAGTGTCATAAATGGAGATGGATTTCTCAGTTTCTCACTTTTCCAATCTTAAATACAGTTCAGTTTGCAAACTTTCCTCCGAAAAATTCATCAGCATTTTAGTGCACATTTCTTTTAATAAATAGGTTTTGCCCAATATACTGGTTGGCAAGTAATTTCTCCCATTGCAATGCTTTTTTAAATGTTATTTTCACCAATATTCAGTTCAGTTTGTCTTTTTATTCACACTTTCCCCTAACCAACACATTTTCATACACATATTTTGGATGGAGAACTGAGTCATGATATTTGGAGAAGTGGGAATTTTGAAGGATAGCTGCGTTTAGCCCACGTAATGTTTTGGGAAGTGTGAATTATGTAAGTTCACATTAAAATGCAAGCTGAATTCCCCCGCCATCTCTAGAAGGAAGTGTTATCAAACAGAACACTGCCATGGAATCTGATGCTAACACTGAAAATGCTGCTCCATTGAATTCTCCCCCCTCCTTGAAGTTTAGTCACACTTATCTGTGTCATTTTCTTGCCTCCGCTCCATATTGCTGCCATCGCTGCTGCTTCAAATTATTTCATAACTAACCTATTCTTGTGTTACATGTTGTATAACAGCTACTGAACTGGCAGGAGTATTTGGTAAAATACAATGTCAAAGAAATAGTTAAGTTCTCAACTATTATTACAAGGTTTTCTGCATTTAAGTAATAAAAATGTTGCATCTGAGCACAATAGATCATACACTGAAGCACTTTAAATGTCTCATGGCAATAAATGTCATTATGCTTTTCCCAGGAGAAAAAGCATGCACAATGTTGATAATGTAATAGCTTTTATTGAACCTTCCTATAAATCATCATGCACGTGCTTTCAGGCCAAAGAGGTACCTTGGATACACTGGATAATGCAGATTGAGTTATTTTACTGAAATAATGCTAAGTTCAAAGGAGCATCGGGCTCAGACTATTTTCAATGGATCCACTGCCATTTCTATGATTGAGCCTGCAGTGTTTGCTAAATTTCAATGCATTTGACTCACTCATGAGGTCAAGAACAAACCAGGAAATGCATTTTTGAATGTTCTGCATTGAGAATGGTACTAGAGAGCAAACATAATAAATTCTATCAAACTTTTCCTGTAAGGCATAATAGAGTATTTTTAGCTTTGCAGAAAACATGGCTGGCCATTTTTTTATTACACATTGTTCTAAAGGATCTAGCTTTAAGTGTTTTTATCACTTGTATTTTATCTTGTTGGGTTTTGTTGTAAAAAGCAACTAACAAATGTAATAAATAGTAAGAATCCATAAATGTGAATTTGCAGGTGTTCTCCAACAACCCGAATCACAACCGTACTGCAGGTTGTGCAAAAGTCATCACTTTTGGTAAGGATAGCCCTTTCTAGAAGTTACCTGATGAACAAAACAAGGGATGTGTTTCATTCCACTCCAAGTCTTGTGTGTGAGATTTTGTCATTTTAAGTTGGGCAGATTGCACACATTATGTTCTCTTCTTCATTCTCCATGTGACCCATCTGGCCCCGCTTCTACGATTCATGCACCCATGAATCCTTGGAAAAATAGATATGTGAATTGTGCTCAGCTATTTCAGAGCCAGCATTGATGTCTATTGTTGTGGCAGTGATTTTCCTATATGATAATGAAAATCACTGGTCAGTTGTGGAAGGAAAGGTCTACTCTACCATTCAGATAATGGTTGCCCACTTCAGATGATTCTTTTCCTTTAAAGAAGAGGGAAGCATGTAGCAGCCATACCATTGCACTCAGGTCATAAGAACATAGGAACAGCCTGTTGGATCAGGCCAATGGCCATCTAGCCCAACATCCCCAAAGCCTCCAGGGTCCATTTGGGGACATAGCCATGACTGATGGCATGCAGAAGATAAAGCTTTGTGTGAACTGGCCCTAAGCTACTTTATGATCAGGTCTATAGGATAATGAGAATTGTCCATGGCCTTATATCCATGAAGTGCTCCATGCCAGCCAAAAGCCAAATGCTCAGTTTAGTTTTCAAGAAAGCTTCTACTTATTTTGTGCCTGCTCCTGTCACTTAAACTGCAGGTTTGCTTTTTTAGGTCTGATGGTTGCTCACAAGTCAGCCAGGTGTTTAGGCAGCAAATATGCTCAAGTTCCATGCAGTAGCCTAATAAAGGTTAATTTAAATGCATGAGTAAGACAGGGAGTCAGATTTACCAATATCCAGCTCCCTCGTGCCTCAAGACATCTGCATTTTATAAATGTTTCCAAAAATGTTTATCTTTGGTGTCCACACAGGTGGGCCATGCTAAGTGTTGCCAGAGATCGGCAGGTGGGATTATCGCACAAAATCTTCACAGCGTGGTGGCAAATCTCTACTCTTCCATAGCTTTCAATAGATTTATATATTGCAGAGCTTTACCAGAAGAAGTTGAATACAGCAGGCAACTTCTGTCTTGCGGTTGGTGCACGTTTTGCTCTCCATTCGTACACGGCAATTGTCCACACAGCAAATGGGATGTGGTGGGCAGAAAGTTGGACGCTGAGGAAATCTCTGCTCAAGTCTTTGCTCAGCCATGAAGCATTCTGGTTATAGAATGCCTGGTGAAAAGTGAATCATAAATAAGAATAAGAATAATTAATAATAATACACTAGCACCAGTGAGTTGCTATCAACCTCATCAATCTCCCATGATCATTATGAGGAAAAATAAGATAACGCCTTCATGCAAGCAGGACTTCCCCTTCTGCCTCCACAGTCCTCACCCTGGCAAACCCCTAAAGCAGATTTTGAGGGCATGTAGGGGGTTGCAGGGAGAGATGAGTCCATTCTGCAAACAGTGCATATTCTGGTGGGGGCTGACACAATTGGATTTCACCCTGCTATCTTATCAATGGAAGACTGTGCTTAAAAACAGGGACCTGTGATTAATTTTCTTTTTTCTAAACGACAGTCATTCTTCCCACTCTCCGATATTTGATTGATTTGTAGGTCTCCCAAAGTGCAATGCTGGACTTTGTCTATGTGCAACCCCCCACAACAGAACAAAAACATTTTAATCTAACAGTGTTCTGCTTTAATGAGGGACTGGACTTTACACTAAGCACCCAACGCTTATGGAACAGAATATGGAACAGATTTATTTTATACAAATCAGCAATATTTCACCGATTTCTTAACTTCACCGCTATTTTCTGACCAGTCTCTCTGACCTATCTTCCTCCCACACAGAGGGTCTGCAATGATGCCCTATTTCTGAGTTTAGGCACGCTGTATAGCTCAAGTGTTCACTAAAAAAGGAAAACTGTGCTGAAGACATGCCAAGAAAGTGTCCTTCTGAAACAGATTAATTCATCAAAAGAGGCACCACACTGGACTCCACAGCAAAATAAAGCAATGTGGCCTTCATTATTCAGACTTAGTTTTCAGTACCCAAGTTCTTTCTTGTACTAGCTCCCACTGGCATTGTCTCTATATGTAGGCTAATCTCTGCATTATGTGCCTTCAAAAGAGCTGGCAGGAATGTGAAGGATTTGAAGAAATATTATCCTTTATCTAGCACTCCTTTTGCTGCTGAAGGGTCCCTTGAGAATATATGACTCCTCTAGTTTGCCTTGCAGACCAGCTCCTTGAGTGAGACGGATTAACATACACTCATTTGCTCTTGTTTCTTTAACTTAATGTTTGTGACAACCCATTGTCCTCAAAAATGAAGATCTTAAATAATTTCATTCTCATAGTTGAGCACCATTTGGTGGTAAAGTGGGATACAAATTGAGTATATCCATCAATATAGCAAGCATGTCCTTATTAAAGTAACAAAACGTTTTACTTACCTCTCACCCTGCCTGCCATTACATCCAGAAATTCCACACTATGACCGCATTCACACCACACATTTAAAGTTCTCTGGTGTCACTTCAAACAGTCGTGGCTTCCCTCAAATAATTATGAGAGCTATAGCTTCTTGAGTTTGCTGAGAGTTTTTAGGAGACCCCATTCCCCCCCAAAATGATTTAGCAATCAATCCTTCTTCACAGGGAATTGTGAGACTAGACAAGTGTTTATTGCGGGAAATTTATAGTGTTTATAGTGTGGAAATTTAACAGAGAAAATAACTGGCAGACAAAAGGATGAATGCCAGTGAAGGAGCTCTTGAAGCTGGTCTTTCCAAGCATTGAAATATTTAGGAGTGGGGGGAAGAAGCTGAGTTCTGTCCATGAATTCTCCAAAAAAGTTTGGAAAGAACCAGCCCATTCCAAACTGAAATGGGCAGATTTCTCCCATCACTACTCAAGTGTCTTCTGTAAAGAGATGATGAGTGCTAATTAACAAAAGTCTTTGCCTTCAAACTTTATAGTCTAAAATAAAAATGATGGATAGGTTCAGAAGCAGAAGTGAGGTGCAGCCATGGAAACATTAAAAGGCTCATTCAAAAGGTCTAGTTCTCTGAGCCCTTCAGACTCTGCATGATAAATTATTATATCTCCACTAAATTTCTGAGACTACCCTGTCAATGTAGTCTGGAACCTTTAAATAAAGGGAAGCAGAAGCATGGAAACAAATTAAATACCACCAGATTTTTCATGTGTGCAACCTACTGTTTGACTTTGAACAAATGGAAATGTGTGTGACCTGATCAATCATAAAAGAAGTGAAAATATTCACTTCAGTGGTAAAATCACTAAGCAGGCTGGTTGTACCCAGGGCATTTCCAGTTGCATCTGTTGGGAGTGCACAATACCTATTCATTCCTAATTCTATTTTTGGAAGGGTGGTGGATGGGGGAGGTGAGCATTGGCTCTGCTGCCTCCACCCTTGACATCCTCACATTGAGCACACTGATTTGAAGGGGGGTTGTAAACATGTTCAGCTGCATGCATGTAAAGTCCTTCCTATTATCAGGAACATTGCATGATCAGGGGCCCAGATTGCAGAGATTCAGCAAAATGAGTTTACAATCCCACTTCAGACCTAACCAGTGTGGGAAAATTGATAATGGAGGGAAGTAGGGGACCCATCTAAATAGAGCTTCAGTATTGGCAACTGGTAATTCCTTATTTTCTCCGTTTCAGAATTGCCCTTTAGCAGTTTTCTATCGATGGAGAAATTAATACGCCCAAACCATAATTTACACCCGATGAGCAATATAACGTTGGTATCAGATAGCACCTATCTAGGTTTTAATCTACATTCTAATCAGATTTTTTATCCCCCGTTGAAGCTTTGTGCAAATGCCTTTTCAAATACTGACAGTGATTATCTGAAGAAGCATTAAGTTATTTTGCCTGTGAGCCTTCTGTACAAACAAATCCTACATTCCACAGAGTCTTCATGCGTTTGTTTCTTCTCCCACTCCACCAACACTAACACTTACCAGCTATGTGGGCCTATGTGACACATAAAGAAAACAGAGATGTCAAGAAACGGGGAGGGAGGTGTGGGGGACCACCTAAAGATGGGTAGCTATGAAAGAGATAAAATTATTTCACAAGATGGGGGGAGGGAGTGTTACCAAGACTTTCATGCTTATATACAGTAAGGAGAAGAGATTGTTACCATGGCACCAAGAGAATTTCTGGCTTGTGGACACAAACACATATGTGAACATTTCCTGAGACAGTAACCACAGCAAAACATACATGCAAAATGGTCAAAACTTTTCACCATTATGCTTTTAACTGTTTTTTTTTAAATTTTGTTTTGTTTCAAGGACCCTCTTAAAATTCGTGATGTGGTTGCTACTGCTTGCTACTGTTAAATTATGGAAGGAAAGTCTGCTTTAGACTGATTTCTTCAAACAATCCCTTGTGAGCACAGAGACAGCCATATGCTAATGAAGTTTCAGTGTGTCCATACTTTCTCATTCACTTCCATGGAACTGAGCAGGGAGAACAATCATTACCTTACACATTGTAGATTTTTGAGGGGATGTGCTTAGGGCACAATGGAACTCATGGGCACCGTGTTGGCAACCCCTTCATTAGAGGCACCACCTGGAGACTGTCCTGTTCCTATTCATTGTGATGCCTGGATAATTTTATTGAATATTTCATGTTGCATTTTACTGTATTCTTTGTATACGGCTCTGAGAACATTGGTGTAAAGTGGTCTAAAAATGGAATTACTAATAAGAAAACAATCATATAAGAAAACAAAAAGGGCTGAAAAACCAAGTCAGAGAAGCAAAACTTAAGAGTTCCTTAGAGGTCATTCTGAGACCCATTTTCTTCTGTGTTTGTTAGCAGCTGTACTTGGGTGGTAAAAACGTGTCTGCTGATTAAATTTGCTGATGACTACAGATTGGGAAGCTTTGTCAGAAAAGATAAGCATCAAAAAATTACAGGATGAACCACATGAGTTACAGAAATGGGATTCCGTTCAATAGTTGTGACTATAAGGTCATACACTTGGGAATCAATAATGAGCACTTCAGTAGCTGCTTGGACTTATCAGTAGGGAATCACAGAAAAAGAAAGGGAACTGTCGATCCCGGTTGATCGCAAGATGCCTATAAGCCACAAATAAAATATGGCCACATAAAGGAAAGTGCAAATCTAAGACATTTTTGTTGGCCTGGCATTTCTGATAGGAGTATAGGAAAATACTTCTGTTTGCACAATGCAATTATATGGTTTCCTTTAAGAATATTTTGGCAGATTTCTAATTTCTTTTCTGCATTTCCACATGGGGAAAGTGAGGGGGAAAGGGAGGTATTTGTAACTCTAGGGGCTCTAGGGGCCGTGAAATGCGGAATCTTGACATAGCTGGCTCCCTTCCCCTCTAACCTTTCCCAATGGGAAAGGTGAGAACCACCACTCTGAGTGGCAGCTGGAAGGGAATGCTAGCATAACATTGCAAGCCCTGAAGGGAACAATTGTCGGAAGCAGTATGACTCTGAATACCCGTTGCTGGGAATTGCAGGATGGGACAGGGCCGCTGCACTCAGGTCCTGTTTATGGGCTTCTGGTTGTCCACTCTAGAACAGGATGCTGGACTAGATAGGCCTTTGGCCTGATTCAGCATGGCTCTTATTATCATTGTGGTGCTTCACCCACCTTCCCCTTCAGTTACAACTTGAAGCGGCACTCCCAGAAGATGGTGTCCCATTTGGACAGTTGCTGAGGAGGCCCACAGGCTGATCTAAAAGGCCTGGTGCGCTGAATCCAGCCTGCAAGCTTTCAGGCCCCCATCCTTGAATTAGTGGATATATTAAAGATGCAGCCAGTCAGCTTGAGACAGCAGCAGCAGGGTGAGGTGTAGCAGTGGTTTGACTCAGTACAAGGCAACTTCATGTTGATAATGTCAGGTTGTGGAATTGGAAATGGAGGAAAGAGAACCCTGAGCATAGTCAGAGTCTGGGATAATGCAGAGAGAAATAGTCAGAGCATAGTCAGAGTCTGGGATAATGCAGAGAGAAAGTAAAAGAGAAGGGGCAAAAGGGCAAGAGGAAAACGATTCTTGGTGGTATATGAAGCTTCACACTACATACTGTCAATTTTCTCCTTGAAAAAAATGGTGCTGGAGATGAGGACTTGAAATCACAAGTAAAAGGAGGGAAATGACAGTAAGAGTTTTATGTCTTATCTCTTGCTATTCTCTTCTAACTCAGTTTTGTAAGTACATTGATCAAAATCCAGAGGCTTACAATCCCTCTTTGGTAATAGAACTTCTCTGTGTGTGCGCAAAGAGGGAATTGCATTCACTAGTATCTCTGGCACATTCAGCCAGAACCACACTGTGAGAAAGTGTAATGAGCCAAGAAGACCTTAAAAGCAGTTGCAGATTTTTAGCATGATCAATACACACACACACACACACTCAAACTTACATACAGATAGGAACATATTGTAAGACCATCCAGCCTTGGGGTTTTGAACATGATCTCCTTGGGATTCCTGAAACACATTACAGTTCAGAAAGATGCTTACATTTCCACCCGGAAGTGTTCTGACACAGTCCCCCTTCTGCATCTTCATTTACCCTCTATGTCCCCTTTATTTGAAGATTGCTGCAAGCAAAGCAAAATGAAAATGAGTTTGATAGTGTCTGCTGCTGCTTTCTTTACATCCAGGCTGTATATTACATGCTGGCAAGATTAAAAAATGGAACAGTGTTCCTTTCTCATTACAATGATTCTAATGAAAATGATAAATGGGTTCAAATAAACTCAGTTCAAGTGACAAGTGATAAGATCGCCTGGAATGCTCTCTGAGACCCAATTCTGTGGATTCCATGATGCCATTATCTTCTTTGGACTGTAATGAAATTGGTGGTGGTTTTTAAAAGGCCTATCCCATGTGACACACTCAAATATCTCTGGGATGGTGTGATAATGTTCATCCAATCTCAGACCCAGGCCATCGGTGTTACAGAGCTGCTGGAGAGCTGGAACCAGCACATCTCCGCAAGAACCGCACATACTCAACAGGTTAAAATTATGACATGCAAATCAATATGAATAAGCAAATTGCACAAATAAGCAGACTGTGCAAATAAGCAAATGGTGCAAACCAGCAAACTGTGCAGATAATCAAACTTCAAAGTTACAGGAAAGTTCTATAATTACAAAATGATTTTTGCACTGCTCTGCTGCTCTATGGTAGGCTGATACGTCAATCCCTTTCAAAGGTTCTTAATCATCAGCAGAGCTGGTGCAAAACTGTGTTGTGTTCTCAAATATTAAAGCAGTCAGGACCCACAGATGTTTGCTATAAGCACCTACCTCCACAGCTACCTACAAGCAAAGTCCTTCTTCATTTTGCACCTTGTATTATATGCATTTTACAGCTTCAAGAATTAAGGGCCATGAGGCTGGGTGTAGCAGGGCAATGTGAGAATATTGTCTTCATGTCTCTAATGCCCCCCATTCTCAATAGTTGGCTTCCATTGAAGTTGAATGCTACATTTCTGTACTTCAACCCACAAGTGTGGAAACCCCAGAAAATTTACAGTAGCAATGAACCCCTGGTGACTTCAAGGTCTTTGGCAGTTAAGGTAATTTGTTTTGTGGGACCCAGCTCTTTAGCTGAACATATACAGCTTCATTCCATTTGGAATGGATCTATTTGTTGTTACAGCTGCATATTCTGCTGCTGTAACTTGCACTGGGATCTTTCAGTGAAGGGTGGGTAAGAAGTCTTATAAAAGTAAAGGGAATCAAGTCCTTCTCTACCAATGTAATTGTGGGGAGCTGTGTTTAAGCAAAATTTCTTCTCTTCCCTTACCCCCAGGCCACTTTGGAGAGGCCCATAGACTCATCTCCCACCCCAAAATGATACAACAGCTTAGGGACAATATCTTTAAAGCACATTCAAAGCACATTTGCCCCCCTCAAAGACTTCTGGGCACTGTAGTTTTTGCCTCACAAAGTTACAATTCCCAGCTACCCTTAACAATCTGCAGTGCCCAGAATTCTTTGAGGAAGAGAAAGTGTGTCAAGTGTGCTTTAAACGTAAAGTGTGTGTGCTGCCAGAAGCACGTTCTTTCTACCTCCGATCAGGGCTGATGCCTCCTCACTGTCCTCTGCTGGTGATGATATTCCTGCAACTGCAAGAGTAGGATTTGCTGCCAAGGAGTGTGGTGGAGTCTCCTTCTTTGGAGGTCTTTAAGCAGAGGCTTGACAACCATATGTCAGGAGTGCTCTGATGGTGTTTCCTGCTTGGCAGGGGGTTGGACTTGATGGCCCTTGTGGTCTCTTCCAACTCTATGATTCTATGATTCTAGGATAGTCCTCTGTCCATTTGGGATCACTGTATGTCTGCATCCACAAGATTCATTTGACCTTTTTTACAAGTAAGACTTGCAATGAAGTGTTGCTGCATTAAGTTAGTTACCCATGTTTTCTTTCATGATACTACATACCATGCCTTCTCACACCTCCACCCACTGTTTCCCATTCTTTTCCTCAACAGGCAGATACTCAGCATGTTGGGATACTGCCAGGGAGATAAAGTCCATCAAGGCCCCCAAGCCGTCTGCCGGACGATCCATTGACCTCCCGTAGTCACGCAGTATCAACAATTAGCGACATGAGTTTCTAGAAGATTTCTTGCCACATTCCAGAGCTCATGCACACTCTATCAGCAGATAGTCACAGCAAAAGTTGCACCCAGGAGAGCATTATTTACAAGTTTATTCAGCGTTGATCAGAACACAGAAAAACATGACTGACTGCTTTAGTGTCTGCGACACCAGAGAGAAAACGAAAGCAACAGAAAACATAAACATCCTGTGAACAGGAAATACGCAGACTCTGACTCACAAAGCCTGCTCCCTTTTAAGGTGGAACGGAAATATCCTAACATCCGCCCCCTGTCCGTGTAACCTGTAGTACCTGTGGTTCAACCCAATTGCAACTTTTGTACATAAACCTTAAGTTGTTCTCTGTTAACAACCTTAGACAACAGATCAGCAGGAATTTCATTTCCTGGCATGTAGGACACCTGAATGAGTCCTTTCTGAATACACTCTCTTGCACGATGTAGCTTAATCTGCAAGTACTTGGTCCTTTGCTTGCAACTCTCTGAGTTCAGCAAAGCCAAACACGATCTATTGTCTTGATACACTTGTACAGGACATTTCACAGAAACTCCGATGTCCTTAAACAGTTGCATCAACCATTCACAATCCATGAGTGAAAATGACAGAGCATTGAGTTCTGCTTCACAGGAACTTAGGCTCACTGTCGTCTGCTTTTGCACAACCAGTCAAACAGGCAGTGGTTGTACATGTAGCATACTCCAGAAGTGCTTGTACCATCCGTGGTGTCACTTCCAAAACTTGCATCTGCAAAGATTTCAAGACCTCCAGTCTTCTGACTGGTGAACCTCAGCCTGTAGTGCATAGTCCCTTTCAAATAGCGGGTTATGCGCTTCAGAGCTTTCCAATCCTGAACAGTAGGATTGTTGGCATGTCTGCTAAGCAGGTTAGTGCTTACAGCAATGTCAGGTCTTGAGCATCTAGCAATGAAATTCAACTTGCCTAGAATGCATCTGTACAGCGTTGTGTCAGAAAACGCTTCAGCAGTACTATCTACCTGGTAACCTGTCACCATCGGTGTGTCTGCTGGGTTTGCATCAACCAAATTCAACCTGGTTAAATACATCAGCAATTTTCTGTGTTTGGTGTACCAGAAAATTACCTGCTTGGTCCCTCTCCACCTGCAGAGAAAGATAGTTGGATACCTCACCAAGATCCTTCATGTCAAAGTGCTCCTTCAGCTGAGCTAGGGTGCTTTGATAAAAAGCCTGATTCTTCCAAAACATCAGAAGATCATCAACAAAACATAAACAATACAGTTTGTTTTGCCCCTCCTCCTTGACAAACACACATGGATCAGCTTTGCCCTGGTGAAAACCTAGAGAAAGCAACGTCTCAGTGAGTTTTGTGTTCCAACACCTGGCACTCTGCTTGAGACCATATAAGGATTTCCGCAGTTTACAGACCATTCCCTTCTGTATCTGCATCCCGTCAGGTGGAAGCATAAACAGCTCCTCCCCCAGAACCCCGTACAAAAAGGCTGTATTAATGTCATGATGGGAAACATGCAGTTTCTCCTCTGCAGCTATCTTGAGCATCAGCCGAATGCTCTCATATTTGACGGTGGGTGAGTAGGTCTCGTGGTAATCCTGTCCTGGTACCTGTGAAAAACCTCTGGCAACCAATCTGGCTTTGTGTCTGACAACCTTGCCATTCTGGTCTGTCTTGGCCTTGAAGACCCATTTGCTGCCAACCAGTCTCATCCCTGGGACTACCGGTACCAGTTCCCAAGTTTGGTTCCTATTCAAGGAATCAACTTCAGCCTTCATGGCATTAAGCCAAGGCTCAGCATCTTTAGAGGTTAACTCTTGAACCTCTTTGAAGCTTGAAGGTTCCCACACCTTCTCTGAGCTACTAAGAACAGCAGTTGCTGTCTTAGCAAACTCATCAGCAAATCTCTTTGGAGGTCTGCCTTTTGTGGCTCTTTCTGATCTGCGTACTAGACGCAAGTCTTCTGGACTCATCTCCTCTTTCTTAGGAGAAAAGTGACCAATGGTGAACAGTGGTTCTTCCAGTTCATTGTCAGACGCATCAGATGGTCTGACTGAGGCCTTTGCGCTCTTGTAGTCTGCTGTGTCATCACTGTCACTGACACCAGCAGCAGCGCCGCCCACTGAACTGGAATCCGAACTCTGATCATCATCGTCATCATCATCCTCAGCAGCTTCCTCAGCTTTAGCTGCTTCTTTGACATCACCTTCATCCTCCTCTGGGTAACTCTGGAAAATTCCCACATTTTCCCCCCACTTAGGATTGTACTCAACACTCTTTGTGAACTTAATGGACTTAGAGTTGGTCATCCATACCCTGTATGCACCTTTTCGTACCCCATGAACAAACCATGTGCCCCACGCTTCCCAAGCTTGTTGCTCTGTGGGGTGTGTACCCACATGTCAGAACCAAAGATTCTCATGTGCTTGATGTTGGGTTTCTTACCAAACATCTTCTCATAGGGAGTACAACCAATAGGTGATGACAACCTGCGATTAAAAGTGTAAACAAACGAGTTCAAAGACTCCCCAACCCTTCTCAGGGAGATTGGCATCATGCAACAATGTTTTCAGTCCTTGCAGCAACGTTTGATTTGCTCGCTCCGCAAGCCCATTCATCCATGGCGATCTAGGCGTTGACAAGTCATGCTGGATTCCCTTCTCAGTCAGGAAAGCTTCAAACTGCTGAGAAGTGAACTCCCGCCTCGATCAGTAAACAGACAGCCAATACGTTTACCGTGAACATTCTCCAACCAAGCACAGAATGCCTTGAACTTAGGAAACGCTTGCGATTTCTGCTCGAGCATAAACACATGAATGTACCTGGAAAAAGAATCAATTAGAACCATGAAGTACCTTGCTCCACCCAAAGAGGGCGCAAGTGGACCAACCAGGTCTGCGTGCACTAGCTGGTAGGGTTTGGAAGCCTGCCTGCTAGACTCCTTGCCTTTTGGAGCAACCTTCACCTTGTTCTCTGCACAAGATACACATTTCATGTGAAACTTACAGGGTTTGATGTTCAAACCCTCAACCATCTCTGGCATCTTGGCCAGCGCCTGCCAAGACATGTGACAAAATCTTCTGTGTGCATCATGAATGCATCCTGCATGAAGAACTTTGTTAGTTTGTGCAACACAACAAGAATCAGCATTAGACACAACAGCACCAATGTCATCATAAGTTATACAGAACAAGCCATCCATAAACTTTGCATGCAAAATGTCCTCTTTGCCTTTTCTGATGACACAGACGCTCCTCTTGAAGGAAATCTCAAAACCACGCCCAGTAAGCTGTGGGACACTGAGCAAATTGTCTGCAGCACCTGGAACATATAGTACATCTTTGATGGTAGTGTGCAGACTTGCCAGTTTCACAGTCCCTTCTCCCGCAATTCGCAACGTCTTTCCATCAGCCAGGTGGATCTCACCATCTTGAGGCGTGAAGGAGATAAATAGATGGCGGTCTTTTGAGACATGGCGGGTACAGCCTGAATCAACAACAAACCTGGCCTTGGCTTTTGGAGCAGCCTTTGCAGCAAGCAAAACCTTGTTTTCCACCGGCGTGGGCTTTTGCAGCTTGCCCCCCTGCTCCTGGCCATCAGACTTGCCTTTAGCCTTTGGTGAGGCTGTGCCAGCAAACAAAACCTTGTTTTCCACTGGCGTGGGCTCTTCACCCTCCCTCTGCTTCTGGCCATCTGCAGGCGTCTGCCTCTGTTTACCTTTGCCCTTCCGGCCTCTGCAAAGGCGATGACCTTGGCTCCCACGAGAAACAGAGCTCTCAGCTGCCGACTCCTTGGCTCCCCTGGAGGCTGGAATGCTGCCTGGGATGACGTGACAGTCAGCTCCCCTGCAGCTTGCAACCGGTGCCCTCGGCATCCCTGCATTCACTCGCATTCTGGGAAACAGCCAGGACCTCCGATGCAGTCAAACTCTGGGCTGGGATGACTGGCAGATGGGCTATCTTCAAAGCATGCCACATATTACGTGCAGTCAGATTGCCAGCTAGCGTCTTTATTTCCTCCAGAGAGACGGACAAGACGATTACGTCTATCGCCCTCAAATTCTCGGCCTCCCATCTATCTGTCAGAGGAACTGGAGGGGCTTCAGACACAGTATGCCACACTCCAAACTGACGCAGCAAGCTCTCACACCACACAGCCCAGGTCCCATAATTGTGCCGATTTAACTTTGGGCACTCAGCCTCAGAAGCCTGGAAAAACTCCATTCCAGCTTTTTATTTGAGCCGTGAGTCTTTAAAAAGTTCTTATTCACTTCAGAGATGTCTTATCTCGGCAGCTCATAAATCTTGAGGCCTTTGGCGCCTTTGGCGCGGCTCCCAGATCCATTAATCTGCCGGAGTTCAAAGGCCCTTGCAGCGGCAAACAGAAAAGCCTTACTTTCGCTTTTCCTCCACATACCTTTCAGCAGTCTGTCGCAGTCTTACTCTCCTGTAAGTGCTGTGAATCTGGGCCCATAACCTGTTGTTGGGATACTGCCAGGGAGATAAAGTCCATCAAGGCCCCCAAGCCGTCTGCCGGACGATCCATTGACCTCCCGTAGTCACGCAGTATCAACAATTAGCGACATGAGTTTCTAGAAGATTTCTTGCCACATTCCAGAGCTCATGCACACTCTATCAGCAGATAGTCACAGCAAAAGTTGCACCCAGGAGAGCATTATTTACAAGTTTATTCAGCGTTGATCAGAACACAGAAAAACATGACTGACTGCTTTAGTGTCTGCGACACCAGAGAGAAAACGAAAGCAACAGAAAACATAAACATCCTGTGAACAGGAAATACGCAGACTCTGACTCACAAAGCCTGCTCCCTTTTAAGGTGGAACGGAAATATCCTAACAAGCACTTCCCTCCCTTCTGCTTATGCATTCCCCCCCCCCAAAGTTTATTTTTATTTTAGGGGAGTACTTTTGAAAAACTGGGGAAGGGGGTATCATCCAGATCTATTGATACCTTTCTCTTGTCCATGGATGGTGTTGCTTGAGCTACCTAAGAATTGGTACTCGGAGAACTCATTCACTATGAGTAAATAAAAAGGTAAAGGGACTCCTGACCATTAGGTCAAGTCATGGCCGACTCTGGGGTTGCGGCACTCATCTCGCTTTACTGGCCGAGTGTCAGATAACTGGGGACTGAGAAGGGGGAAATGATGGGAAAATACAGAGATAAGCCTCCAATCGTAAGTAGTTGCACCTCATCAGAGGGGGAGGATGACGAAGGGTTGTCAGGAAGCAATGAATCAGGGAGGGGGGAGCAATTTCTGGGGCTTAGCTCTTCACGTCAGAGAGGAAGGAAAAGGGGAGGGCTCCGGAAGTGGTTATGTTGGAGAAAACGAAAGGAAAGGTCAGTCTCTGCAACTGATACCGAATGAGCCGGATGTGCTCTGAGAGCTCTGTGTGTAAATAGGAAAATGGACCTAATAAAACCTGTAAAACTGGCTGGAGGCCCGGACTCTTATCTCTTCTAGCACCCACCAATCATCCTTGACACCGAGGGAGCGGCGTACAGCTTCTGGGTCATGTGGCCAGCATGACTAAGCGGCTTCTGGTGAACCAGAGAAGCACACGGAAATGCCGTTTACCTTCCCGCCGGAGCGGTACCTATTTATCTACTTGCACTGGTGTGCTTTCAAACTGCTAGGTTGGCAGCAGCAGGGACCGAGCAACAGGAGCACACCCCGTCGCGGGGATTCGAACCGCCGACCTTCTGATCGGCAAGTCCTAGGCTCTGTGGTTTAACCCACAGTGCCACCCGCGTCCCAATGAGTAAATATGCTAGGTTTATTTTCAAGCAGCATCATATCACATTTTCTCTCCCTTCTTCAGGAGAAACTTTCATACCCTATAGTTCATCTGGAAGGTTCATTCACCCATAGCAGGTGTGGGCAACCTTTGGCTCTCCAGATGTTGTTGAACTACAACTCCCATCCATGATCAAGGGCAACCAACATGAACAAGGCAAGGGAATGGAATGATTCCCCCGCAAAAAAAGGTTGCAGATTATTTTGGACCAACTAGGCAATTTGAACTCTCTCATGAAGAGAGTCCTACTTATTTATCTTTTTTGGGGGTCCAGCATAAAAAGTGCTTGGTAGGATGCATTTATGTATATAATAAAAGAACTTCTCAAAAGAAAAAAATCAAAGAGAATATTTATATGACACAGAATGTGATAGGAGCACATAACACAGAAAAAACACAATGGTAACAAGGAGAAAGATATTTCAAAAGCTTTCTAAGGATTTTAAGGAGCATGTCAAGAATTTTACTCAGCTGGTTTTTCTAAGCTGTCCCAAAGGGCAAGATGAAGAGCAATTAGTATATTCCTACCTCAATAGGCACTGAAGTCTCCTATGCACCTAGGCACCTCTTCCTAGTTCCTGTTGGTTCACCAGCCATGGCTGTTCCTGGACAGAGATGTCATTGTCACTGTAATCCCTGTTCTGGTAACCTCTCAGCTGAGCGGTTGTAATGTGCTCTCTGTGGAGCCATCCTTGGGCCAGTCACTGCCTCTCAGCCTAACCTACTTCATAGGGTTGTTGTGGGAATTATATGTGGAAGTGGAGAACTATGTATGACACTTTGAGTTCCTTGGAGAAACATGTGATATATACATGCAATCCATCAAAGTACCCTGTGCAGGAACATGGGATAAAGCCGTTTCTGTGGTGGCAGAATACCCTCCACTCTGAGATCCAACTTGCACACATATTTGATTGGGAATTTTTGGTGGACTCATGGATGTAACTGGGACCAGTTGCAAACTTAATTAATTAATTATCTACCAACTTTGTTGTTAGAAATGTGTGGTTTTAATAGTGGTTGTAATTTTTCTCTCTCAATTAAATGATGTGTGATTTTATTTTATTTTTGTTGTGTTTTATATTGTAGTTCATCCTGATATTCATTTCATGAAAGAAGGGCTAGCCACTGAAATCGTAAATAAATAAATTTTCACAGCCTTGCAAGTAAACACGAACTTTGAAAGAATTTCTTTTTTTATAAATAAGATTTATTCATTTTCCAATAAAAATATTTCAATTATTAATAAATAAATCATATCAAATCATATCATATACACTATCACCAATTATATATTCCAAATTAAATTAAATTAATTTCTAGGGACTCCTCATGTTCTGGTTTCTAGAGGAAATGCCTTTTATTTATGTTCTGCTCTCTTGCTTGTTGGTTCCAGTTTCAAAATTCTGATTGTCCATCTTCATCTTATCAATCTGTCAGTCTCTGGTATGTGACTCAAAATCTTGTTTCAACAGGTCTTTATATCTAATTAGCATGCAGGTGGCTTATATTCCATATTTTCCTTTATTAGCTTATTTTGAAAAACAGTTCTCTCTCGGTGATCTCACTTTGAAAGAATTTCTGATCAACACTTTTTAATAGTGGACTTTTAAAATTTCCTGAAGGCTAAATCATGACCTAGGAATAATATTTATTTCCTTCCCTTTGAAATTCTCTGCCCCTACTTTGCTTCTATAAGCTCTCTTTTTTGGCCAGCATTTCCAAATAATAATGATCTCTTAAGTTCCACAAATAGGACTCTTGAACTTACATTATATTTGAGCTTTCCTCCTTTGAGCCCACTGTTTCATTATTAACTCCCCAGAACCTCATTTACTCCCCCGCATCTTCTCATCTTCAGTCAGTGTTATAGGCACAAACAACCAAAAAATGATTGTTCTGAATTAGCAATCTTAATAATGTCTACTCAAAAGTAAATTCTACTGAATTCAGTGGAACATCATACTCATAGCTAAATGGCATTAGGATTGCAGCCTTAAACTCCTTATTTGATCCATTGTTATTTCTCTTGAATTCAACTGGGCAAAGTCCAGTCTTACTTGTCCCTGACTTGCAAACACTGAGGTGATAGAAAATGGCAAGCCAAAGAGAACAGGATGAAAACGGCAGAGACAAGAGGTCATAAGACTGAATCAAGCTTAAAATGAGAGCAAAACTAACTCATATTGTCATATATTTGTCTCTATATTCTTTGTGAGATGTAGGCCATCACATAAGGTAAAAATCATTAAAGGCACATTTTATATACTGGGTGAAAAGATACCATAATCAGAGTAAACTAAACAAAAGTGCATCGGCTTTTGGGACTAGAATGATTCTAGCCACATTATTCTAATATGTGGAAAGGTTAGAATTTGGTGACCTTTCTTTTTCATTTTGCATATGCAGAATTTTTGAGCATGCAGAATGTTTTCCTTGGTTAACTCCATGCCTGTCTTCCAAATAAAAATAATTCAAAGTTCTTTTCTATAAAGGGTCTTCTCACTCCACGGGTGGGAATGACTTCCATTGATAAGATCATGTTGTTCAGACAATCCAATAACATGTAGCTAATGGAGGGGTATGTTACATCATGGTGCATGATGTCAAGGTATTAATGAATGTCAAGAGATCACTGACAGGCCATGCAATTCAAATGATTGATGAAAACAGATTTATAGTTCTAAGGAGACAGTGAACATAAGCTGAAAAAGCAGAGTATCGTTCAGGAAAAGAAATAATGATTTGTTTAAAGTGTTGTTCCAGAAAATAGTTTGATAGCATACATGCACCTACATTACAGTTTTAAACTTGTTTAAATCTGGCCTGCCTTCTACCAAGAATTTTGAGAATAGCAGTTTCGTGAGAGTCTAGATTTTCCTCTGTTGAAGGTTCACAGGAAACTACAGATCCTGGAGATTCTACAAGACACGCTGGCTAAACTAGTTTGAAACTGGTTTAGCAATGCAATCCTATACATGTCTGCTCAAAAGCCCCATTGAATTCAATGGGGTTTACTACCATGCTACTTAATTCGTAATGTGGGCACACTCCACAAGTGAATTTAAACATTTTATTGACTATGAGAACTATAATACTGTACAGCAGTTTCCAATGAAGAATTCTTGCCAGTGTGTCAATAATTGAATAAGAGAATCTGAAAATAATAATAGATAATAGCTTTATGTCTTTCCTGACAAAACCTATTGATAAGCAAGAAAAAAGCAAGAGAAGGTTTCTGATGAAACTAATAGAAATACAAATTAGCAGTGGTTTGGCTTTTTTTCAAAATAAGGAAGAGAAAGGGAGAGAAAAACCCCTTTCAGTTCAATAGGACAGGCTTAAAGTTTGGCCATTCTTTTTATTCACTAAATGTTTTTCTCAGAACCTTCTTCCAAGAAAGGAAAACTTGATCTTGCCTCGTGTGAAATCAGAAAGCACCTCAAACTTCTTCTCTAAGTGCTCTTTCCTTTTAAGCCAGTTTCTGAGAATTGGAAAATGTCAGAAAACATTCCTCATTTTTGTAACTCCTCAATTCACAGCTCCGTATCCTTCAGAGTGAGATGCTGTTTTGTAATTCATAGCATCCTGCCATGCAGGTGTTGCCAATTAGCCTAACCTGTAGCTTCCTACTTTCTTTCCCGGAGTTTTCTAATAGCATGCTCTATGACAATAAGGGCAAACTGTTCTAAAAAATAAATAAAAGAAAAGGAATGTAAACAAGCTGGAGGGGGGGAGGTGAAAGAGAAAAAATGAGAGATATTGGTGATTATTGTGGAGGGGAGGAAATAAAAGGGTAAAATATTATTCCCATGAAAACAGGTAAATCTAATCTCCTATCTCCGTGAACTTCTTGCTGCACCTATGCTGTTTTCTAATATCCAATTAAAGCAAAGCCAACAGGCAATAAGAACGCAGCACAAAAAAAGAAAAAGGAAAAAATGTATGATTTTATACTGCAAAGGAGGCCAGAAATAAGTAAACAGCTGGGCCATGGGAGGGGAGGAGGTAATGGAAATAAAGCTGAACAAGCTGAACAATGAAGCACAAATGAAAACCACCCCTTTGTCATGGGTGTGGTATTCTAATCACAAGGGACACGGGTGGCGCTGTGGTCTAAACCACTGAGCCTCTTGGGCTTGCTGATCAGAATCCCCGTAAAGGTGTGAGCTCCCATTGCTCTGTCCCAGCTCCTGCCAACCTAGCAGTTTGAAAACACACCAGTACAAGTAGATAAATAGGTGTCGCTGTGGCGGGAAGGTAAACAGCATTTTCATGCACTCTGGCTTTCATCACAGTGTTCCATTGCGCCAGTAGTGGTTTAGTCATGCTGGCCACCTGACCCAGAAAGCTGTCTGTGGACAAACACCAGCTCCCTTGGCCTGGAAGCGAGATGAGCGCTGCAACCCCATAGTTACCTTTGACTGGGCTTAACTGTTCAAGGGTCCTTTACCTTTAACTTTTTTACTTATTCTAATCACAACTGGGAAAGAACCAGGATGATTATAGCCACTCATGACTTTTCCAGGTGGGCAGTGATTGCAGCCTCTCACTCTCCACCGCCATCCCTAGGAGCCAGATCACATATGTTTGCAAGCCTTTTGGGAATTCCCTCAACCAGCAAGATCAGAGGGTAAGACTCCTTGCCAGAAAGCTAGCTTCAAATAGCCCAATCAGAGACCCCACCAGTTGGAGAGTGCCTTGCTGGCTGGCTAGGCATTGGTTGATGCCTTGCCTGGTCAGGGAACATTGTAGATTGGCCTTCTTGGGGAGGCCATAATCCTTGGCAAGACCCTGAAGCAGGAGGATATACATGCAATGGCTGAGCCAAAATTCCACCTACATCTGTAATCAATAAAGTTGTGGCCATTTTCAATCCTGATTGTTGTCTGCTTGAGTTTGTTCTATCACATTTCACTTAGCCACTGCCTAGTGAAGGGTGGCACTGGGACTGGGAATGCAAACACACACACACTTGAAAACCATATGGCCTATAGTTTGGAATGAATGAGAGTTGCAATATAAATGCGAGTTGCTCTGTCCTAATTCTGATTCACAAAGGGGTTTCTGGGAAGGCTGGCTTCCAAAAAGAGGCTAATATAGAAACTGCTTTCTTGTGTATCCTGTGTAAACGTCCTGTCCTTTTTATCCTTGTTTAATTCACTTTACTCTGTCACCAAAGGTATACATAAAGTCACAATTACCGGAGAACTTGTGTACATGTTCCCCGCTGACACAAAAGCAGCAGTTTGCTAATAAATACTAATCTTTGAACTGTGTGGAGATTGACGTGATGCAGGGGCGCAAACGAGAAAGTGAAAAAGGAGGTTTCTTTTAAGGCATCTGTAATAGAAACATGGAGCTTGAGTGATGGCTAGGGAGGAGGAATCAAATGGAGAAGCTTCAAATGCCTGAGAAAATGGGCTTAAAAGGTCCCTGTCCATCTGTGCTATTTTTCATACAACAATGGATCCTTTCTGCTTGCGTCTGTAATGCAGGTCAAATGGAGTGCATGGCTGCATCTGTGACAGAGTGCCAATCACCCAAGGGCTGCTTCTCAGATACGGAGCCACACTTGTGCATGCAACATGTGAAGGGTTAAACAAGCAACATTGTTTTGCCAGATGTCTGGATGCCACAACTGGCTTCCAGTTGCACTGTATAAAAAACACCTGCATGGCCACTTTCACATTACACAGCATCCAGATTTTTAGACACGAGTGTGAAATGTAAGAAGCAGAGCTTATTTTCCTTGTGTACAGACATATTGACTTTTTAAGTGCCTTGCTAATAGCTGCTAAGGTGCCAAACTATGAGAGCGTCTCAAGGCTCCTGTAGGAAACTGTGTTTATGACATTGGGTAAGCTCTGTCAGGTTGTTAAATGTCAGAAAGGGAAATTGGATCCTAGAATGAAACAAAGTCTACCTGAGCTCCCTCACTTCATCTTAGGTTTCCCCATGTGCCACCAACATTCCTATTACATGAGCTGGTGTACTGAGGCTGGTGTACTAATATCAGCAAGCCTGGTTCTGTGAATTACACAGAAGAGACTCACTAATTTGTAGGAAGGATTCAGTTGTTGGCATCCATCTGTCTCGAGAGACAATGGAGTGCAGCTCTGGGGGTGAAGGCAAATCCTTGCACCCAAGTGACCTCCCTGAGGCGCAAGCAGCGTGTATGGAAGTCCTGGCCTGCCCAAATGACAAGACCTTCCTCTTGGCCTTGCTGATGTGGTCCAAAGGAAAGCAGAGCAATACAGTTGGCACCAGCTTGGCTGCAGGCATTGCCGGAAGGAGGCATACAAGGCGCTAGCCAACAGTCTTAGGGAGTCTACTCCGGATTTGTATAGGGTTTACTCCAAAGCGTTTTCTTCTCCCAAAGATGTCCTGTAGGTCAGCAGAGTTTTAGGATCAGAGTTTTCCTTTTCCTAGATGGGCTACCTTCACAGGTTGACGAGCCCCATCTGCCCCTAACAGCCCTCTACACCACAAGCAAAAACTGCCTTCTTGAACGTTGGGCCCACTATTGGTCTCTTCCACTCAGTCTGCTGGAGCCTGTCTTCGCATGCAGGGGGAAGTCATTAACTCACTGAGGGTCTGAGACCCATTGTCTATCCTCACTTGGTTTAACCAGACAGTCGAAGCCATTCCTGGGGTGTGGCCGCTGTCGCATGCTGACAGTTTCTAGGAGCTACAGGCGAGAACTCTGTGCAGGGTGGGGACCAGAGGTGGACAAACTACCCTAGAAGGAGTAAAATGTGTCCCGCAGCAGGGATAGTACCCCTCCCCTAACCTCCAATACACAATTGGATCTAATTATATACCAGCAAATGTAGGTTTCCACAGTTACAGTGCATTAAAGTTCTCTGGCACAACGAACCCACTTTTCAAAAAAATAAATAAATAAATAAACTGGCTTTTTTGTGATGGGGAAATGCACTCGGAAATGTGGAATAAGAATCAGCTGATGGGAAATTGTATAAACAAATCAGAATGCCCAGTCAAAGAACAACAGACATCATCTATGTTTTGTGCAAACAAATCAGGATAAATATTCAGTAAATAATATATGGCATCTAAAGGTGCCTTAAGGCAATTCTGCTCTTTGCACAAGTGCTGGGGACCTGGCCCAGTGATTTTTCCCCTTCCTCTTGTGTAGCTCAGGCCTGCTGAGCATAGATCTAATTCAAAGCAAGGCAGGAAGTCAGGAGAGTCTGGCAGACTCCTTAAATCATGCAGTACTATGGGCTGTTGAACAGCCACAGAGCAAGGAGCAGCAGTGCAACTGTTGACTGAGACACTAACTTCGATCCCCTATGGAATAGCCATTTATTCTCCCTGACTGCCTTGCTCTTGCTGCGAGGGGTAGAGGCAGGCCTTCCGAAATGGACGCCAAAGCGAAGCTAATGTGGCATTATAATTCTTTGTCCAGCTTTAGAAGATCTCTCGTGCAACAGTGAAGCAGTTTCAGATGCACTGATGGCTAAAGATCAACAGCTGATTTCCCCACATCTTATATGAGCTTAAGGCAAAACCTCTTCCTCCTTTTAATGGCAGGCATGTGGCAGAAAAGACAAGTAATGCTAAAGACGTCAATGGCCAATATAAGGATGGGCATCCACAGATTGGGGGAAACAGCCTTTACTCTCCAGTTTGGATAAAGGTTGTCATGGTTACCAAAGCTGCTGTAGGAGACAATCAATCAAATCCACAAGCCTGGTTTGGGCTTGTTAGGAGAACTTCAAATTCAAAGTAAGATTAACTTCTGAACCAATTAATGGAATGACCACCCTGGAGAAACATCAGCAGCTACACATCTGGTAACTATAGCAACCTTGGACAGGTTGATATGAAATGTATAAGGAACTTATTTATAAGGAATAGGAATTTATTCTAAATCTTTAGTCTAGCAGGAACTGTTAGTCTCTTTATTAAGATTAAGTCTGTCAATAGCCTTCATGGTTAACTTGATAATTCTTGTTTATTTAATTCACAATTATTTCTTTTGCTGCTACTTGAATATTTATTTATAATGTTACTTTGGCACCATTAAACACCCACACATTTCATTTATATTCAATCATTAAGGCTTTGAACCATTGTAATCTACACATCCAGAAGTTGTAAAATATCTGAAACACCTTCTTGATCTTCAGAGCATCATTCCCCAACCTGGTGCCCTCCTGTAGTTTTGTCACTTCAGCCCCAGGAGCTGATGGGAGTTGTGATCCAGAACATTTGGAGGACTCCAGGTTGGGGGAAGGATACCTCAGAGGGTTGAGGAAATAACAGACACTCTGGGACATGGGTAATGAATCCTTGGAATATGGGCCACATCCGGCCAATGGCAAAATTACATCTAGCCTGAATCAGCGGCTGGGCCCCCTGCTATTGCCACTGCTGTTGATGGCTTCTTGTGAAAAATGAGGTTCTTAAATTGTCCCAATGGGCAAGAGGTTAGTTACCAGACAGGATTCAAGAGGGAAAATATTTTAAACACACCAGCAGAAGACCAGTGAATGCATTTCAGTTTAGAAAAGATATAAGCAGGGTTGCATCAAAAAGAAATCGGCAGCAGAAATACAGGAATGAATCCCGGGGAAGGGAGGAATAAGGAACAATGTATGCAAATAGTGATTGTAAGGAAAAGAAAGTAGAATATGAGTAAGCAACTATGAAACTTTACACAGAAGAACAACATGCAAGATCAGAATCTTTAACTATTAATTATTGCTGAAAAGGTAAAGGACCCCTTGATGGTTAAGTCCAGTCAAAGGCAACTATGGGGTTGCATCGCTCATCTTGCTTTCAAGCCAAGGCACTGTTTGTCCACAGACAGCTTTCTGGGTCATGTGGCCAGCGTGACTAAACCGCTTCTGGCGTAATGGAACACTGTGACGGAAACCAGAGTGCACAGAAACACCGTTTACCTTCCTGCCACAGTGGTACCTATTTATCTACTTGCACTGGTGTGGTTTTGAGCTGCTAGGTTGGCAGGAGCTGGGACAGAGCAACAGGAGCTTACCCCGTCGCAGGGATTCGAACCGCCAACCTTCCAATCAGGAAACCCAAGAGGCTCAGTCATTTAGACCACAGCACCACATGTGTCCCCAATTATTGCTGAATTGACCCACCTTAACTCCCCCAGCCCTCTAGTTAAAGCTTACTGCATTATCCTGGTTCTTCAAACAACATGGCATTTTAGTTTCAGAGAAAAACATAACTCCCAATCTGGAGTGAAATTCCAGGAATCTTGGATGTATGTCTTAGCTACATACTACTAGTATTAGATGCGTGTTACAATTACAAATCAGGAAGTACACTGATTCTTCATTACATTGCAGTGTGTCCCTTTGAAAACAGGTGCAGGGGGTGCTGGCACCAGTGGTGTATCCACATACCTGCCCAATGACATTACAATTGCTGCTTCCTCCATCCTTCACTTGGGGCATGTGCAGAGAAGAAGCATAACCTAATCAAAAGGAGGCTTTTCAAATGTGTCAAGTAAGCACTCCCACCCTTGCGGACAGCAATCTAGACTGAAAGCAGCATGTTGAGTTGGTAGAGAATGAATGATTTTGGATTGACAAAAATGGCATTGAGTGTATGCAATCCACGAAAGCTGTGCAGAGGGGTTTGGGATGGTGGTGGTGGTGATGATGATGATGATGATTTATTTCTACCCTGCCTATCCGGCTGGGTTTTCCCAGCCACTCTGGGCGGCTTCCAGCAAAAGGTAAATAATACATTAAAACATCAGTCATTAAAAACTTCCCTAAACAGGGCTGCCTTCAGATGTCTTCTAAATGTCAGATAGCTGTTTATTTCTTTGACATCTGATGTGAGAGCACTCCGCAGGGCAGATATGAGAGATCACAGACTTTGGGGTCTGTATGTGTATTAATGGAATCTCCACTCCACTGCGGCTTCTGCATTGTATTGAGCCAAACCTGCTTCTGCATTTCACTGAAGGCAGCAAGGTTTTATTTGGCTGACCATGGCCCAGGGTCATTGGGAGGGTAAAATAATGATTTCTAATGTGTCTACAAAATCCAAAGCCTTTTTGCTGGCTGCTCTATATGCAGGCTACCAGTTGCTAAAACGGCAAAGTGACCTATCACTTACAGGAGCTCTGCAGTAGCTGACTGAGTAATTAAGTACACTGGCAGCATGATACTCTTGAGTGCCAGAATGCATAACTTTGGAATTTTACTAGGGGTTTATGGGGGGGGGGGGACAACAACCTCAAAAAAACTATTTTACAGATTTTCAGCATATTGGCATGCTGGACACAGAAGGAAAGGTTTGTACTCCTGCAGTCACCTCTGCAGCCTTTAGAGAATTTGTAGATAAGTACCTTGCTTTGTTTCTTTGGAAATCCAAAATCAGCAACTGGGATCTCCAGGAAAACAAACACACGCACCCCCCAAATATATTGACAGGTAAAAGCAATTACGGTTTTGTGGTAACACTGGCAGCTTCAGATTAACTTAGAAGATGTAAAAGGTGATGCTTTTCTTGATGAAAGTAGGGCGAGAAAAGGGTATTTAAACATTACGAGCTTGTTAATGTTTACTCCCAATTATTTTAATCTGTTTCAAGTGATTATGAAAATAGAACAAGGGACTTGCTGTCCTGCATCCCTGGAGGTCAGCTTGGTTTTCTCTATTCATTACTTTGGCCACTTAAAGCACACCCAACACACATTTAAAGCACAAGACATCCCCCCAAGAATCCTGTAGTTTCCCCAGCACCCTTAACTAAGTAGAATTCTCAGGATTTTTAGTAGCGGGGAGTAATGTGCTTTAAATGTGTGCTGGGAAGCTTTAAACACATGGTGCCTTTAGTTGGAAACTGCCAAACCCGCGTAAAGTTTAGATTGTCCATCTTGTTTTCTTTGTGGCCTCAACCTGAAAAATGAATATGGCCAGAGCCCCAAGCAGGGGGTCACCCAGTGAAGCTGAATTGTAGGAGATTCAGGACAAAGAAAATACTTTATCTCACAGTACCTAAGTAAACTGTGGCATTCACTGCCACAGGATGTACTGATGGCCACCAACTTGGGTGGCTTTGTAAGGGGATGCCTTATCCTGCATGAATTTTTCTATTTATGGATGCTACCCATTATTGCTATGCGTGACTTCCAGCATCAGAGGCACTACACCACGGAAATAGCAGCTGATGGGGAACCACAGCAGGAAAGAGCTATAGCCTTCCTGTCTTGCATGTAGATTTCTCAAAGGCTTTCCTCTTATGGGGAAGGGCTATAGCTCAGTGGTTTTGTTGTTGTTGTTCTCATCCATCTGTCTTGAGTGACAATAGAGTGCGCCTCCAGGGATGAAGCTAAATCACTGTGTTAGGCAGCAGCAAAGTGACCTCCCTGGGGCGCAAACCTGGGCAGTGTATGGAGGTCCTGAGCTGGCCAGACGACAAGACCCCTACCTCAGCCTTGTTGATGTGGTCCAAAGGAAAGCAGAGCTCTACATCTGGCACCACCTTGGCTGCAGGAGTTGCCAGAAGGAGGCGTACAAGGTGCTGTCTTAGGGACTCCACACTGGATTTGTGTAGGGTTTACTACTCGGAGTTTTCTTCTCCCAAAGATATCCCACAAGGCAGAGGAGGTTTAGATTCAGAGTTTTCCTTCTCCTAGATGGGCTACCTTGCCTACCTGACAAGGAAAAAAAAAAAAGCTTCTTGACTGTTGGGCTCACTATTGGTCTCATCTGCTAAATGCACCAGAGCCTGTCTTCACATGCAGCTACCCTCACCTGGTTTAGCCAGCCAGTCGAAGCCATTCTTGGGGTGTGGAGGCTGTCGCATTTGACAGCTTCTAGGAGCCTCAGGTGAGAGCTGAGTGCAGGGTAGGGACAAAGGTGGCCAAACTACACCAGAAGAAACACGACGTTTCCCCCCACCAGAAGTACTACCCTTCCCCAGTCACTATAGATAACAGTGAGCTAGATGGGCAGTGGTATAACTCATTATAAGGCAGCTTTCTATATTCCTACCTGTTTGGCTACTGTAGCAAATGCTAGATTACATAGGCTATTTTTTTTTCCTTTCTGATCTGGTTCTTCTTGGGTAACCTTGAGCTAGTCACTACCTCTCAGCTTGACCCACAGGGTAAAGATAAAAATTGGGGGAACACCTTGTATGCTGCTCTCAGCTGTTTGGAGGAAGAGAAGGGGGCAATGTGATAAATAAATAACAATAAATCACATGGTAAGCCTCTGTGTCAGTCCTGGAGCCAGGAGCCCAGGAAGATTAATGGTTCAAGTCAACCAATAAAGGTCAGATGCCAATTCCTTAAGTTATAGCAGCCATGTCTGACCCGATTACATGGAAACAGTGTGTGTGTGTGTGTGTGTGTGTGTGTGTGTGTGTGTGATGCTACTGTCATAATGGTAGAACCAATGTTAAGATTAAGAAGAACAGAGTATTTCTTCATTGCTATTCTCTAGCTTAGTCCTCAAAAGAGACAAAAAAATTACATAATGTAAACTATCACATGTGCTATGTAGATGTGATGAAGAAGCCTGGGTTGCGTTCTGCATTTAATTTAGCATACCCATGGGCTGTAAGGTGTGCTAGATGCTCAAACGTGCTAAGAGGAAGGCACGCTTGGCAAATCCACACTGTGATCAACTCCCACCCGGGAACCAATGTCCCCACTGTGGAAGGATGTGTGGGTCCAGAATTGGCCTCCACAGTTACTTACGGACTCATTGTTAAAACCGTGTTTATGGAAGACAATCTTACTCGGCTACGAGTGATCGCCAAAGAAGAAGAAGCAGCAGCTCTAATTTCCAGGCAGAAGTGCAGCTTTATTTTCCACCTGAAAATGCATTATGTCGTTAAACTATAGACACACTGTGTGGTGTACTAGATCAGTGATTCAGGATCAAATATCAAGGCCAAACTTTTGACTGCATTCTTTCAACAGACATCACTAATCAGTATTCAAAGCTGCAGAGGAGATGCTTTTTCACTGCTGTTCTGAGCACAATTGCCCTCTACCGGACTGAAATTAGAAATGCAAGTGGCTAAATTCAATACCCAGCTTTGTCACCAATGACTTTGACAGATGCTGTAATAGTGTTGCCAACAGCTTTTAATATTAGCCATCCTTTCTTTTTATTGGAAAGAAGGTAAAAGGAAGGAGATTAAGTTAGATCCAAACTACTTTAAATCCTTCTGATTTCAGTGGGTCTACTTCTGGTGTCTTTAGGGCTTGAAGTTGGGAAAGGTTGCTTGACAGAGGAAACCCCTCCAAGTATCTGGAGAGCTGTCACGTGGAAGACAGAGCAAGCCTGTTTTCTCCTGTTCCAGAGGTTAGGACCTAGACCAATGGATTCAAATTGCAACAAAAGAGATTCCAACTATACGTTAGGGAAAACTTTCTGACAGTAGGAACTGTTTGACAATGGAATGTGCTACCTTGAAAGGTGGTGATGTCCTTCATTGGAGGTTTATTATTATTATTTATTTATTCAACTCATACACCACCCTATACCCGAAGGTCTCAAGGTGGTTCACAACAAGATAATGAACTGAATGGCCATCTGTCACTTTAGCTGGAATTCTTGCATTAGAGGAGGTTGGACTAGATGACCCTTGGGGTCCCTTCCAAAAAGTTGAGTTTATTTTTATCTGTTGAGGCAGCAGCTTGATTCAAAACTTCCTAGAATGGAAGGATGGTTGGGTGAGAAAACAAAGTGAAGAGACTCAGGTTCCCAAAAGGGTAGCATTTGTGGGACAGAACTTTTCCATGTTGATCCCTGTTTAAAAAGCAAACTAGAGTAATAAATACGCCAAAAGTACAGAAATAAGCTCATTCTGGTTGGGCCTAGTGCACCATGAACAATAGCTTCACATTTCTGGGGAGCTAAGCAGAAGCAGGATTTCTTGTAACTTGTCCCTCAAATAGAACCCCTTCTTTGTGTTATAGACGGTTATAAAGGGCCTGGCATTACATTACGGCAACAACATGATTGCCATATCTATGGCCAGGGGAGCATAATCTATTATGAACTATGGGGCTTTCTCTCACACTAACGACAAAGGGAAAATGCAATTAAAGAGTACTATGTCACTCACTGCACTAACAATTGTTTTGTTTTTCCATTGCAAGCTGAAACGACATGACAGGACTTCTTTCCTTTTACAGGCAGCTTCATTGTTCCTGGTTCTCTCTCAGCCCCAGGAACCTGGAAGGTTCACAAAATTGCCTTTGATCTTCAATCCCTTCCCTTCACGCCGTTGCCCTTAGTGGGCAGACAGGATGCAACCCAGTCAATCAACTGGACAGCTGAACTGTTGGCCTGGGATTTGTCTCCTGGTGTTTATTAGATTTCTTTGAATGAAAAAGAGTGAGTGTGATCATGTTCAGTTATGCAAGAAGCAGTTTGTCAAGGCTGCTAGCTTTCTGTTGCCTTGCACATGGAGAAATAGATTGCTTGAATAGCATTCATGTTGATAGCTCCGGAGACCAACCTCTTAAAAAAACAAATACATGCCTGCTTGCCTCTGAATTTTTCTCCCATCTCTCTGGAGTCTCTAGATTTTTCAGTTAACATCCAGAGGCCCACCACTGTTGTAGAGTAATGGTTAGAGAGTTGGACTTGGACTAGATAGAACTGGGTTAGAAGAATCCTTGCTCCAATATTCACTGGGTGACTCAGTGCCAATAACCCATTCTCAGCATAACCAACCTGTGGGTCTGGTGAAAAAAATGATGTAACCCTTCCTCCTCCTGGTTTACATTGCCCTGAGCCAGAATACAGCATGAGAAACATTAGGAGGGATTCAACTAATGAGTTCCATGAGTGAAAGCCCTGCACAAGGACTTCCACTTATGTAATGTGACTTTCCCCTTTTCTCCCCCTGTGTGCCCACTCCCAAATTGGTTTGTGGGGTCCAGAGAATTCTAGGGATAGAAGAGGGAGGATAATTCTGTTGGACAAGCAGAAATGCTTACCCTGACAGAATGATCACCTTAGTGCAATGCTTAATTCCTCCCAATGTCACCTGCAGTGATGAAAGAGAAGCCATCTGCTCATGCTCAGAGGCATTATTTCTATAATAAAGCCACAAGACCAAAAAAGTTATATATTACAACCATTTTCAATAGAGGAATGAGAATCATAGCCGTTGTTGTATGACCACACTTGGAGACTACAGGATCAGAAGGAAACAGGAGCATTTAAGGATGATTTTCTTCAGTGCATGAAGAAGAGGAGCTAAGAAAATGGTTGCATTTTAAAGAAGCTACAGCAGACAGCCAAGTGCAATTCCCACCATCGAGTCTCCAAAAGGATTGACTGGGATGAAATTATTAAACAACATCTGGCAGAAGCTCACAAAGACTGCACCCATTTTAGTTCCTCATTAAAGGGATATAAAATTCAAAGGGAGCTGCAAAAGAGGGGGAAGAAAACAATCTAGCCATGTGCAAATTAAAAGAGGAAGTTCCAATGTGATCAAATTATATGCAGTTTAGTACTGCAGTGGGTAATACAGCAGCCAAAAGCCATGGATTCATATATTGTTGCTCGTATAAGTAATCAAAAGTTTAAAGCACTATGAGCTGCTTCTTGTGCTACTTTTTCCAACACCAAGATTAATCTCAGTGTTTGGAGTGATCACTTGGTAAGCCAGTTGTCCGCACCATCCAGACAAATACAGATGAGAATTTTACATTCCCTTTGCTCCCCTGTATTTCGGAACAGGTGCAGAAACATAAGCAAATGTTCTCCTGACCACATGGCGGTACCATAAGGCTTACCAGGTGGTTACATGCACACGGTAGTTAATTATCACTTGGTAGATGGTCAACTTTATTTATCAATGGTTTTAAGCTGTCATCTATAGGTCTAGAAGCTTGTTGTGGTTTCGGCAGAATTCAGGTCAGATGCTTAAGGTTCTACAGCACCTACAAAACTCTGTGTTGTTTCTATTTCACATGTGTGACAACTCGCTTACTATTTTGAAAGAAACACAACATTTCAATTTCTCATGACCATGAAGATCATGACAGGACGTATAGGGTAGTCTGGTGTTGCAATAATGCCTTCTGCCATTTCTCTTTACAGCCACAATCCTATGGATTCTGACCTCCAAGGCCTTCTAAAAGGAAGAATTCACAGAAGGCAGAAGACCTAAGATGGTATCTCACTATCTAGTGCTTCCTGTCAAAGAATGATTTGCTGAGAGCACCCTGTGATGGTGGAAGAGTTCCATAAAATGCACTCAGAGGGTGGATTGAAAAGACAGGCTTCCTACTTGTCATGGACTGCATCGCACTTCTCCCAATATGTGTCAGCAGAAAGTAAAAAATGAAAAATACTGCATTGATTGCAGTGCTAAAGTCTTCAGAGAGAGCCTATATGAACAGCCAGCTGACCTGTGTTTTGCCAAGTCAGGAGACAACTCACATTACTACTTCCTCCCTTCTTTTTTCCCTATAAGTGCCAGGTTTTCAGCCACGCCAGATTTTGTGGTATGTAACACTCTTGAAAATCAGGCACCTTTGTTTATTCAAAGCTGGACGCTAGGATTCCTCAAGCTCGAAAACCGTATTTTATTGTCACCCTAGCTCTGTTCACACACTACCTATATGTAGAGCACTTGCCGTATCAGGAATGTGCCTGTGCTCCCCACCCCCAACACTGTGTCACAAGTGTTTGCTCTGTCCTAACTCTGCGCCTAAGAAGAGCCTGCTGGATATGGCCAATGGCCCATCCAGCCTCTTGTTCTCACAGTGGCCAATCAGATGCCTGGGAAACCCACATGCAGGATCTGAGCACAAGAGCACTTTACCCTCCAGATGTTTCCGTCAACTGGTATTCAGAAACATTTCTGTCTTCAACTGGGGCAGCACTATTGTCTTTCAGCACTATTGTCCACAAGAGGATCCCTGTCCGTATGTGATCAGGACATTCAATTTTCTGGGCTACCAAAATCAGTGAAAATACATTGTCCTTGGTACACATCCAGCTAGTTTTGTTCAAATATCCAAGGTCAAAAATTTAGAGCAGAAGCTTTCCATACAATTTATAGAAAGCTGAGCAATGAGCAGAATAAAAGTACAATTAATTAGGTGGCAATATACAAAATTTATGCAGTTTCCTTAACCTGGGCAGCATGTTTTATAGAATCCATCGGCTGACTTGCATTTCATTTAATTCTGGTTGCACTTCCCTCCCCTTTGCGTGAATGGTTTGTTTCAATTCAAGGTTCTGGATCTAACACACACAACCTGTTTCTGTTCACAGGTGCGCTACATGGCAGCGTGCAGAACATCCAGGGTATGAAAGAGGTGAAATATGTCTTGAGCTGAGATTGTTTCAGAGGAAAGAGTTAAAACTCTGTGAAAATGTAGGTGGCAACAAATGTACATAAATTGCCATGCTGTAATCACAGCAGGTTACAGAGTGAATACTAATAATAAATAATTTTTATTTGTACCCCACCCTCCCCGGCCAGAGCCAGGCTCAGAGTGGCTAAAGCAAGCAATCAATCAATTAAAATGCATCCCAAAATTAATTCAAATAAATTAAAGTTAAAGTTAAAACTGGACAAATGACAATCCTCAGGTTAAAACTGAAAGCGGTTAATATTTGCCAGGACCAACTGTTCCCACTGATATTATAAGGACCTGTGAATGGGCTGAGAAACCTCCTTTGTGCTTGTTCTTATACAAAGAAAAAATGAGTCAGACTGAACACTGACCAAATTTATTCATACTGGGCAGCTCCCAGCAGAATATTAAAAAGTGTGGTGGACTCCTTGAAAGCATGTCAGAATAGCATCTAGAATTTTCACAGAAGGTTCCTGAATTCCTGGAATTGCAATATTCAAGCTGAACGTCTCTTCCCACCCTCCGACCCCAAGTTTGATTTTTCTATCAGGAGAATGTCAACAAACCCTCTCTCAACCCCACGTGGAGATTTCCTTTTCCTTTCGAGATTCTACTATGCACACCTCAGCAATTCAGGATGACTTCTGGAACACTTTGCCCAACTAAGGGTGCAAGGCCATTCTGCTTATGACAATTGCTTTTCCCTGCTTCTCTTTGCAGCCATATTGTGGCAAACAGGGCTTCTAACTTGCTTCCCATAGAAAATATCAATTTTAAACTCCTCTGCAACCTGCTACAATATGAGCTGAGCGATGACATGCAAAAATATTGGTATTTTATTTATTACATGAATCTCACCCTTTCTCCAAGGAGATTGGGGCAGCTGTAGCAACTGGGCCAATGTGTGCTTTGGTCCCTAGTGAATAATAAGACTGACAGACTCTTTGAAGTTCAGATCTTCAGCCAAACAAATTGCTCTGATATCGTATATTTTTTAAAAGTGTTAATGCAAACTCATTAATTATTGAAAGAGTCTGGAAAACATTAGAGAGTCTAAGCAGTGTTTATGGTGATTAGCTATTCTTTTTAATGGCAGGGAATTTTCTAAGGAGAAAGATTAGCTGGAGAATTAATGCCTCAGAGTTTTGTACAGTAAAACTGGAATTAAAAAATGTCTGAAGGAAAGAAGCATAACATCAGCAGGGTTTGAGAACTCAAGATTACTCGGCAGGAGTGAGGAGGGTATTTTTCTTTTTTCTTTTAAAAGCCATTCCATTGCTTCTTTAACCTAAACACATTCAGAAGCAGAACTTTAATAAATATCCAGTTAGTACATTACATGCCAGAAACTTATTGTTTGGAATACCTCGATGTTATGGTTCAGCAGTGAATAGTTCGCAAAAGAAAAAAAGGAAAGAGGTGCTGGGGACTCAAGACTGCCTGGAGGCTAATTGTTAATTCTTTATTTCCAAATTTTCACACAATCAAATGCACTAGGCTGGGGGTGGGCATCTGCGACTTCCAGATGTTCTTGGACTCAAACTCCCATCAGCCCCAGCAAGCATGGCCAATGGTCAGGAATCATGGGATTCCTTCCTGTGCACTGTCTCGCCAAAGTGGTACATGCTCTGTTTATCTCCCGCTTGGGCTACTGCAATGCACTCTATGTGGGGCTCACTGCAGATATTAATATTGTGGAGTTTGAAGTGACTGGATGCATAAAAACTGAGTCCTTTTTGAATAAAAACATGCCCAAGGCCCATAGGTTATGTTCAAAAGTTTACTTGAGGAACTTTTAAACAAATAAACAGTAAATGATACATCCAAACAGTCCTGTTCATGGAAGTTTTAAATGTTTGATGTTTTATTATGTTTTTACAGGTAACTCATGAAAACCCAAACCACACCTAGAAAACCATGGTCTTTGAATATTATTTTTATCTGTGTGCTCAAATCACCTTTTTTTCTTATTTCTTCCTTCCTGAGACTTGGTATTCAGAACTGGAACTGAGCTTCTGGGATAGGAGATTTGGTGCCCCCGTCCCTCAGGTAACAGAAAAAAACAACAGTGAAAAATGTAAAGTTTGTGTTTTGGTTTTATGACTAGTTTTAGGTGCAAGAATTCAGGATTCACTGTGGCTTTTTCTATTGCAAAGTCAGTGAGCTGATATTACAATCAGTTTGTGCTCAACTTAAGCACATCAGCATTCACAACCCAAATCATTTGCAAGCTAATCAATATCAGTTGCATCTTTCTGATATTAGTAGGACATCTGGGATTAGACACATGAAAATTATAGAAGTGCTACAATTCAACACAAGTAATGTGCCTTTCATCAGGAGACCCCCAAATTCAATCTGGTTAATTTGTTTCTAGTTAAAAGCATTTGGGGTAGTAGGATTGGGAGAGATCTCTGTCAGAGACCCTGGGGAGCAGCTGCCAATCAGTACTGGGATGGACCAAAGTGCTGATAAGGCAGGTTCCTACGTTTGTTAATTGATATGGAGCAACTACCACTGTTGTATTCTATTTTCACCATCCCAAACATCATTTAGAATCACTGTTCCTGACATAGAAATACATTCACAACAAGCAGAATGGTCAAAAGAGAGAGTTGAGTGGTGTCAGAGAGGATATGTTCACATTAGTGGCTAAAAATGCAATGAGGTCATATCCCCTGCTGCATGTACTCATAGATAACAGACGTCTAAATGTATGCACATCAATTTAATACCTACTTTTTCAAATTGGATGGGAGCTGGTTTGAGGGGAAACCCATCTAGCAGCAGTATTTCTCAAGAAACTACAGTTGTACTGTGGAAGTCAAATGGAATCCGTTCCACAAGTCCTTTTGACTTCCAAAACATTCAAAAACCAAATCGCAGCTTCTGATTGGCTGCAGGAAGCTCCAGTCGAACGTTCGGCTTCCAAAAATAGTTTGCAAACCAGAACAGTCACTTCCGGGGTTGCGACATTCGGCGGCCAAAACGTTCAGGAACTAAGCTGTTCGAAAACCAAGGTACAGGATTTGAAAGGATTGTGGCTAACACCTTGTGTACTCCAGCAAGGGGAAAGCAATGGAGCTGGAGTAAAGGGTAATGTGTACATAGGCAGAGTCCACTTTGGGCTGTGATGAATGGAAGAGAAATTCTGGAGGCAACAACCTGAGCTGAGAACTTTGTCTGGCCTCTGGAGTCAACCACGCCTGATAATGGCTTCAGTCCCAATAACAGAGATCAAGGCCTAAGAGATAAAAATTCAAAGGCCATCTGAGAGTGGATGAACTTGACTTCCTTTTCTAATACGAGGTAATTTTACGTAGTCAAATGGTAGCAGAGGTCATCACAGAACAAACTCTAGTTGAAATGAAGACTTTTCTGAGGTTTCTTGGGATCAGTATGCAGAGCTTAATTCTTGCTCTTAAATTCTGCATACTATACTGCATAAAAGATAGTCATTTTTAGAAGTGACTTGAAGGGCAGCAGTGACCCTTCTGCTTATTTTATTACACCACTTTTGCTCCGCATAATTACTTACCAGATGTTCATGGTACGTTTTGGCTGTTCCCTTTACTCCACAAAATAAATTCTGGGTGTGGGGCAAAATTTTCTTCCTGAGACCATTGTCATAGACAGAGGCAAACAAACGCTTTTAGTTCTTTTCTATATTGTACTTTAAAATGCATTTACACTGGTTCTGCCCTTGTGAAAAGACCATATAAGTAAAAATATAACAGCCACTACAGGGTATAGAACATCCTTTGAGAATACAAGGAGATAATTAAAAAAACCCAGCACATTCTATTGATCCTAGGCAAAAAAGAAAACCCTGACCATAATGAATAGCTGTCATGCAAATGTTTACATCTCAAAATCTAAAACAAACTGAGCTCATACTCTGATCCAATAACTTAGCTGACCGGAGTCAGCAAATGCAATCTATATGTGCTCCAAAGCATATGCAGCCAAGTGTGGTAAATGCTGAAGAAGAGACACAGAATATACCCAGCAGCTCATCCATTGCTGCACGCAGATTTTTTTTTATTATTTTATTTTATTTATTGAATTTATATACCGCCCTATACCCAGAGGTCTCAGGGCAGTTCACAGAAAAGATCACAGTATATAAAATCAAAATAAAAACAATAACCCAATAACACCCCCCAAAAGCCACATTTTGAAATGGTATAGGATGTTGATCTAGTCAACCAAAGGCCTGGTTAAAAAGGAACGGTTTTGTCTGGCGCCTAAAGGTGTATAATGAAGTCAGCAGGCGAACTTCCCTGGGAAACCACTATGCAATTGTCCTAATCGTAGATCCTTAAGCACTGTTTCTCTGCAAACATGCACGTGGCCTGCCAGTGCTCCCGTGGTGATCTGAATCAAGGCAAGCCACTTCTTACTGTAATAAAAATGGAGAGAGAAATTGGAGACATGTGGGATTTCTGGTATTCCTTGGGAGCTTCACTACTTTTCTCTTCATCCCTATTCCTTGTGAAGACACAGTGCAAGGTAGAGAGCCCATTTACCAAATGTGCTCCAATGCCCTGGCATAGATCCAAAAACAAAAAACAAAACACCCTTTGCATGTCGAGGTCCCCAGGGCCACCCCAATAACTCACACATCACACAGAAATTTTGTTTAAGGTTTTTTGCATAATTTAGGCCACAACTTTATTAAAATACAAAAATGTGAGTGGTTGCTTAGGCATTGGTTGCGAATATCTGCCGCCCTATGGGGGACAGACTGACATTCCGCATGCCTGCGAAAGTCAGAAAAGGGGAATACACTTGGGGGTAGCGACGGAGCAGGGAACCTGCCCTCAGCCCTCCCCAAATGCAGCCAGGAGCTCTTGCAGTGGCCCGAGCCCCTTGACAGGGTGGATAAAAGCAATAGTGAGCCCCTGAATTCCTGTAACGGAATCCCTTGCAGCAGCAGCATTAGAGGTGCAGGCACAGCCAATCCATGCCCTTCAACCAACCAAACCATAAACCAATGCCTAACGGCAACCTTACAAGTTGTGACGATTTGCTACGCAGTAGGCAAAAACCAGATGGCCCCAGCCAATCAGCCAGATGGACAAAATTCCTAACAGGCCCCTGCCCCAAGAGGAGACGACCCCATGACAGGCATAGCAAGGTCAAAGCGGACAACCCTAAATATGGGGGGGGGGCGATGGGCAATCCGATCCACGGGGCAAAAAGAGGAAGCTCTAGCCTCGTGCAGGGAGTTTTAGCATTTCTAGCTGTCAGTCAACAAATGGCAACATTAACTTCTTCCCAACAACAAGGGAAGCCCAATCACATCAGTGGCCAATGATCAATTAGCCCGCCCCACAACTTTGGAGTGTCCTGTCAGACCCCACCGCAACACGTGCTCTCCATGAAGGAGAACACGCTTTGCCATTTTGTATCCCATTACCCATTGTTCTTCTAGGGTCTGCAGACAAGACAAGGTCAAGAATGCTGGTTGTTGCAGAGAATGCCCTTTCCTGGGCTGCCATCACCCTGAGCCTCTGAGGGCAAAGGAAAAACTAAGAGGGCACCCTCTGCAGATTGAGATGGCACCTGACACGGTACCTGTAGGTAACAAGGCAGTAATTCAGGTACTGGAGACCTGAGTCATTTAGTTTTTCTACACAGATTCACTATTTTCATGTAAATTTCATGCATCATGGGGCAAGGAAATGTAGTACACAGTGCTGGTCTATTATTCTACCCGTTTTGTAAATGTGCTCTTTCTGTCTCATTTTCTTCCTGACAAACCAAAAGGCCATGGTTGTACATTGCATATTTTTATTTTGCCACTCCAGGTAGTACAGCCGAGTTTTCCTGCACCTATTGCAAACGCAACCTGTCTCACTGGCAACTCAGAAATACCCTCCTGCACAGTTCATGTATTTTCCTCCCTTGGCTCGCCATTCCCATCAGCTGTAACAAGGCCTTAGGATGTCTGCAATTAACAGATCTATAGGAAAGGCTCAAAGGAAATGCACCTCCAGAAGATATGATGTAGGCATTGTAACACAGGCTGTCTGTCAATGACTGGTTTCTCTGCCCTGAAGGCATGAGTCCAAGTGACTTCTGTGAAGGCGCCTTGCCATTTCAACAGATGGACATGAGGGTAAGTAGCCAAGCAGCTATGTCTGGGCATCAGGCGCAGGCAATGAGCACCTGATTCCTGGCCAAAAATGCAGTGGCGGCTGTTTGACTTTGCTTAGCAAGCTAAGGTTCAGCTAGTATGTCATTCCTAATTAAAGTTAGGGATAGTTTCTTTTTCTTTTTTTAAGGGATATGTTTTAATGCTGCAAAATCCAATGTCTGCATCAAGCCTAGGACACCTTTTTAAATGTATTTATTAATTAAAATTTCTTGGTTTACAAAGGTATGTGCAATGTCTCTTTTTTCAAGTTAAATTTTCTACAGATCAGTTTCTTTTGCTGAGAAGTGCTTTCAGGGTATCCACTGTGATATTTCCCCAACCATTTTTCAATTATGTGTATGTGTGTGTGAGAGAGAGAGGGGGGGAGTATTTGTGGATAGTGGGAATAGGGTGATCCTTTATGCAATCCATAAATTCCAATTTGTGGCTCCCTCTAGTTTTAGCCAAATCATGGTCTCTAGCTTTCTAAAAAAACTAGCTAACTATCTATTGTATTGTTGTTTTCATTTCAACTATTTACTTGTCTTTTTACTTTGTATTTTATCCTACGAACCACCCTGAGATATTGTGATAAATGGCAATATAAAAATCTAATGAATAAAATAACATGCCCCCCTTGGCCCCCTTGGCCTCCTTGGCCCCCTATACTTTGAGCACTGCTTAGACACATCTAACTATGCATGGTACTTAATTCCCACTGGATACAGTAGAAATCATTTCTGGCAAACTTGCAAAGGGACAACCTAGAATGCATAGATAAGTCCTATTGGTTTTAGTGGAACTATTTATCAGATTGGTTTGTCCCTTGTAGTTTGTCCCTTGTAGTTTAGGGGCTGCTGTATACATTAGCCATGTACATTTTTTCAGACATCTATAAACTGCCTGCGTTTGTTGTACAATTTTGCCTTCGCTCAGGCAGCCACTCTCTTTGTTATCATGCTAATTTACATCAGCTTTGAGTACACTTTTAATAAATGAGCCAAGGCTACACCTGTGACAAAATTAATCAGATGAATGTTGGAAGATATTGGAAAAATATTATGTGACCGGCGCATAGCCTTGTATTGATTACCGGCCTTCCAGTATCTCAGGACTCAAGATCAATAAGTATAAACCCATAGTTTTATGCCTACCTGATTGCTTGCACAGCATATTCCCTGGCAGAAATATTAGACCTTGTTGAGTCAAATCCTGTCAAAGTCAATGGAAGTCCTTTCACTGACTTTCAGGGTCAGGTCACATTAACCTCTGGAGTTTGGACAAACACCCTGCAGTCCAATAATCAAAAGAAAACCAAGTTGTGGACAAACACCCTGCAGTCCAATAATCAAGAGAAAACCAAGTTGTTCTGCTATCACCATCTGAACCTATCTGCCATCTGGATTAGGAGATGAACTGTTGCCATTGTGAGAGCTATGCTAGAAAATAAAATGTAAACGTATTTAACTCTCATACCTTTCCCTCTAACCAGGCAGCTAAAAAGGAAACAGATGGGGCGGAACACTTAAGGGGGATATTACTATATATACCACACTGATAAGAAGTAGCATGCAGTTTCTATTTTGGTAGTTAACTTGGAGAGAAGATGAGCAGTTATTTCTAGTGTGAAACCATTTTTGTAGAAAAGCTATGAAAAATGGACATAAGAATGCTCACATGATAATAATACCAATGGTAAGAAACAGAGACAAGCCTACATCTTATGTACCTGAATATTTTTTAAAAAAAAAATTCAAGGTGAGCCCAAGGGCCAGAAGTCAATAAAGGGCATGCAAAGCACTGTAGGGGAATGAAGACAGGTGACCAGGTGAATTCTGGAGGAAAGCTTCTGTCTGATGTAAAGTGATTACTGAGACATTCTCAGAGTTTGTGGAATCTCACCCTTCAACAGGGGAACACATGTGGTCTCTTGCCTAAGGGGTTCCAAAATCTTGAAGATAACTCTGCATTTTGAGTTCCCTGCATAGGAGATTCAAACCTTGAACCCTATCCACTCCAATCCAGTGCTTTCTCACCTAGTCCCTGTCATTAGAGACCTCTCAGGATGGTTCTGAGGAGAACATTTGAGACTCACAAAAGCCCGATTCAAAGCAGATGGGTGCTTGAAAAGCTCCTGACATCTTCTCTGGCTCAAATGGCAATCTGAACTGAGGAACAATTGCCAGCTGATAAATACTTTGCCCTGCAAAGAAATATCTGTCTTCTAGCAGAGCGAAATCATCATCAGCCAAGGATCACAGGGGCTTGGGCAGCCCAGAAATCAAGTGCACTGACAACTCTGCCAGAGCATGTACCGTAATCTCTGACTGCTAAAGCAGCTAACTCAGCCCAGCCTCAGAAATTTCCTGCCAGAGTCTCTGAGCCTGGTCTGGGTGTTTTAACAACACTGCAGGGACAAAAACAGAGCAGGGGTCAGGGGTGTGTGTGACCACAGTGGTCACAACATCCTGTCTGCATTTTTCAAAGGGTAGTAATCTTAAGAAGCCATTCACTAACTGCCACCACAGGGTCTTCTGAAAAACCACCCTGCCTGGAGACAAGGAGAGAAGAAAGAGAAGCATCTCGTTGTGCTATCGCTATCTAGCTCTCAGTAGTGGCTCCTCCCTTTTCTAACCGTCACCCACAGGAGATCCTGAGCAAGCATCTTGCCCTGAAGGGAGGGAGGAGCAAAAACAGTCTTTCAAAAAAGTTTTATTTCCCCTGTTTTATCTTGTTTTGTTTTATTGTTACTGGTGCATACTGTTCCAATCGTATCATGTAAACTACTTTGTAAGGTCTGCCTGACAAGCGGCATATAAATGCCATGGATAAATAATAAAATTAATGAAGCTATCTTAAGATTTACTTTCACCACACATTTGCCCTGGTTTTGTTCCTTACCCATTGGTAGGAAATGGGGTGGTTTATTTCTCACAACATCTGACTTGCACTCTTTGTTTCCACAAAGATGGACATAAAACAATGGTGTCTCCCCCTCCTGCACACTTTTATTTATAAAGTGTTTAGAATCTAGAAAAAAAGAAATAAAATGCTTTAACTATAAGGACAGTATTAATTGTAGAAACTAAATTACAGCTGAGACAGATGCTGTGCTTAGTAATAAAAGTAAAGAAACAAATCACCCACCATGGTCAATGAAACTGATATTATCTGCTTATTTAAGGTATATTTTAGCTTATTGGTTCCAATAAATCTGTGTAAAGTCTTATTTCCTGAGATACTGCTATCTCTTGCTACAGCAGACAGAGATTTTTTCTTCTTATTGCTACCGAGGTGTCCTGAAAAATTATGAGAATGTACTTGGAAATGTGGCCATAAAGTGAGGCAAGGGCTGAAGAGATGTGGTAGTGCTAGGACAGGTGTGGGGAACCTTCTTCCTGCACCATGTGAGCCAATTTTGACAGGTGGCTGGGTCCAACCACCTGTCTCTCATATGATGGGTAGTCTCAAAGTTGACCCATATGGATGGGTGGAAGTCTGCTTCCTTGACACATTCCCTGCAGGAAATGCATTGCTGAAGCACCCAACAGCCCTAAACTCTCTGTTCATCATATGAGTGGGGGGTTCCATCCTGCTCTCTGTAGGGGTACAATTTTGCCAGTAAGTTCCCCACAGGGAATGCAGTGCCAAAGCAGCACTCAGCAGAATGAAACTCTGGTGAGCAGAGACTTCAGTCCTGCTCTCTGGAGGATGCGAGCAGGATTCAACTGCTTCTTCATCAATGGCGAATGGGGGATTAAATCTTGCTGCTTTGGTTAATACGCGAGTGCAGCCAAACCCACTGATGCCAGCTGACTGATTGGCGTCATGGGCTAAATTTGATCCCCTGGTGAGCTTGTGGGCCACAGGTTCCCCGTGCCTGTGGCTGGCCCAACATATCTGCCTGTTCCCATCCAGCTTTGCTTCATATTGGTTCCAGCCTGGACTGGAGTATTTCAAAAATATGTCACCCTCCCAGGAAGAAACCTCAAAGCATAATTAGGAGGCTAGTGGACCTAACTCAGAACCTGATGGCTCATAGATAAAGTCGGGGCACTCTTGATTAGATCCGGGGTGGGACTAAAGCAGAATTTGGCAGGTTAGGTTACCATCCTGGCAGAATCCAGGAAATTATGGGTGAGGCTAAGTCAAATCTGTGATTTGCTTCCATTTCAGATCCCAATACTGCTTACCAGGTATAGCCAGTTGGCCCAATAAAATATTGATAGCAATTCTATCATCCTCCAGTCCTGCCTCTTCCATCCTTCCTTCACTTGCCCCTGGACTGATCTGACCCTTCCTTCAAGCCTTTACTTAGATTTCTTTTCCTTTTTCCTTTCCTATACTAGATTACCTTCACTTGGCACTTGCTTCCTCCACAACTCATTTCTTATGCTCCCTCCATTCTAGCTTTCCCCATCTGCTGTATTTTCTGCACTCCTGCCCTGCTTTTCTTCTCTCTTTCCGTCCATAATACTTTGAGAGAACCCATCCCTAGATGTTCAGTCACACAGACGGGTGTGAGCAGAGGGACAGAATTGGTATAAAGGGTCTGATAAAGTAATGGCAGGGTTCAAACCTGCAGTTCCAGGATGGGAGGCCTTTCTTCGACGTGAGAGCTTTCTCCCTTTCTGCCAGCTATCCAATAGTCCCTCCACCACCCAGTGAAGCGGTGCAGGAGCAGAAGGCAAACTCACTCACAAACAGAAGGCAGACTCACTCACAAACAAACTGGATCTATCTATCTATATGTTTCATTCAAAACATGTACAAACCAAAGCCACTTGACCTCAATAAGAAGCGCCAGAGGCCCAAGCCAAAGGTGAGTATCACTGATGGTACTTGACTGACATCAGGGGGTGAAAGCCAACTTAAATAAGACACCCAGGAAGTGCAGTGGTTAATGGAGCTTTAGACCTGATAGCCATGACCCTGTTTCCTTTGAAAGGAGATACTTGCGTAGATTGAATCTCTAGGCACAAGGGAAGCACATATGTTTATGTTTACAGAACAGAGTACCTATGTTCGGAGAATAGCTCACTTCGGAGTTTAGTGCATCTATTACACTTGACAGCAAGAAATTGAATTCTTGAGCTGATATAATACAGGTCTCTGCTTGTTTTGCACTGGGGACAAGCAGGGGAAAGTACTTGTGGGCCCTACACAAAAAGGTCATCCACAATTCAAAAACTCAGAACGCATATGCCTGGAAAAGGAGCTTGTGTAGAGGCCATAAAGAAAAAGCAGTTCTGACTTCACTTGAGAAATTCTCACAGCCCACTTCTAGCAGAAGCCCTTCAGATGCAGGGAAAGGGAGTATTCTGCTGAAGACAAAAGTCTGCAATGGTTGTTTGCTGATAATACCAGGCTTTAATACAGAAGACAGGCTCTACATCCTCGTTTTTATTAACATGCAATGGTGCTCCAAGTCTTTTTTCTAGGTGGCTAAATGTCAGGGCAGAGGAGCAGGCCAACTTTGTTCCATTATGAAGGAATGGTAGCTGCCAAAGGAATCTACAACCCTAAGGTCACATTTACACAATAACAAAACCTATGTTGGCAGGTTTGTGTCTCTTTGAAAGGGCTGGTGATAAACAGATCTGCTGGACAGTTGGGTGACTTATAGATCTCACTTTTCATTATGTTAAAACAAACCAAGCTTTTGTAGCCATTTTTGTTCTTGCCAGAAAACTTTGAAACATGAGCAACATCTATTAATTGATTAAAAACAACCACATCCAGAGATGAGTTTGGCCAGGACATTGGTTGGAAACAAGCTGAAGTTAGGAAATGATAGATTCAGGTAAAATGCAAAATATTTTGTGTAGACTTTAGATCATCTTGGTTTTACTTCAGACAACATCGTGTGGGTCAAAACAATCAGGTGATCTGATGTGGAACATGGGTGATTGAAATTCCATTCCATGCTCCCCTTGAGCTTTCCTTGCCAAATCAAGTATAGGCTTTTAAAGGGCAAATTCTCTATCTAGAGCTTCATATTTTTGCTTCAGTTCTTCACCTGCAAATGCAAGCTTCTCTCGCCCAAAGGAGAGGTGAATGTTAAAGACTGTTTTCAGAGAGGGTGAGAAGTAAATATAGGAGTTCATTAAGCAGTCAGTGTTTAATGCTGCAGTAGACAATTCAGAGATGTGAGAAGTTTAAATCAACTGGACTAATCCAAAAGTGCTGAGAACGGTGGGCATAAACTCGTGTGCTTTCTTAAATTGCTCATTTTGCCTGGTGATAGATTGGTAATCTGTTGGTAAAGAAGGGTTAGAACGGTTCCAACTCAATAGGTTGCATATATGGAATGCCAATAGGGTCTTTTCTCCTAAGCACCAGGGGGCAGGGAGAGGCAGTGGTTTACACTGAGACTATGGCGGGGGGAAATGGCTTCTCCTTGCATGCTGGAGTCCCAATAAAAAAAACCCATGCAGTTCTAATGAAGGAAAGAAAAAATAACATTGCAATTGCA